TTGAATGTTCTATTTCTTGATAAAGGTGCTTTCAGTAATAACCTTTGGCTAGAGTCATAGACTTCAATGTGATTCTGCTGCATAATCATAGAATAACCCTTTTCAAGTAACTGTCCTAGACTCAGTAAATTGTGCTGCATTGAGGGAACGAACAACACATCATGCATGTATGTTGTCTTACCATCCTTTCGTGTGATCACAACCTTGCCAATTCCTTCTGCTGTGATGGTGCTATTATCTCGCAAATCGACGTTGCTTTTCACCGTTGAATCAAGATCAATTATCCAATCTCTATTTCCTGTCATATGGTTCGAACAACCGGTGTCAAGATACCACGAAGACATATCACTATCACTGTTTGTAGTAACCATTAGTAATACTTGATCCGAATCAGAACTGTCTTCATCTTGGGCCAAGTGCGCTTCATCACTCTTCTTGTCTTTCTTGTTTGTAACACCATTATTATGCCAACACTCAGCTGCATAGTGACCAAACTTGTCACAATTGTAACATTGAACTTTTCTTTTGTCAAGATTTCTCCTACCTCTTCCTCTAGATTGTCTTCCACCTCTTTGTACTCGATTATTCTTCCGTTCGGAGTTCGTTGTCATTAGAATTTTCGAGACCACTCTATATGTCCGCCTCTACCTCTTCCCTCCTTAGATCTTCCACGTGAATACTTTCCACCACGTCCTCTATTTCATCGTTGATTGGCTCTGGCTTGAAGAGCTTGATCAGCTGGTTCTTTCAACATTTCTTCTTTCAACAATTCGTTGCTCATGTGCTTCCAAGGAATTTTGAAGTTCCTCTACCGTCATATCTTCAAGATTTTTTGACTCTTCAATAGCAACCACAATGTGATCAAAGCGAGGGTTCAACGTTCGCAACACTTTCTCTACAATCTTTGAATCTTCTATCTTTTCATCACAAACCCGCATAGCATTAGTCACCACTTGCAATTTATTAAAATACTCGCCACTGATTCCTGCTCTGTCATTGAAAGCAATTCATATTGTCTTCTTAGTGATTCGAAGTTTCACCTTTTTATTTTTCCGGAATTACCATATCCATTGCTTAATATATCCCAGATCTCCTTTGATGTGGCGGCTTTCGAAATTTTTTGAAATATACTGGGTGATACACATTGATGCAGCAGAACCCTTGCTTTACCGTCCATTCTCTTGTTTTCTCTGAACATCGCTTTCTGTTCATCACTTGCATTCTTGATAGGCTCTTTAAACCCATCCTTAACAATCTCATCAACATCTTGATATCCAAGAATTGCATCCATCTTGACACACCAGTCATCATAGTCTTTCCCATCAAAGATAGGAAGACTTCCTGGTATTCCCGTAACAGCCATGAGATCACTTCTCTGAATGTTCGACGCACCACCTTTCAACTTGCTTGGCCCCTCCGAACCTAGCTCTATGATACCAATTTGTTAGAACAGGGACACACCTTCAGCAGTAAAAACAACCAGAGGAATACAGAGATAGAGAAAACAAGAGATTGACTTTTCTCATATATCAAAGAAATGAATACAAGGTATTTATACGGTCAAACTGTCAAACGGTAAAAACAGAAAAAAAAAAGAACAAAACCGTTATATGATTTGATTACTATTTAACAATATGAAGATTCGCATGGAACAAGAAATTAAGTATGCAACAAGAAAAAGTAATGGTAGGAGAGAGGCGAAATAGGAAAAGGAAGAAAGGAATATTTAAAGTAGGGAGAGTGAAACGCGGTGTCGGGGTAATGTCATGCAAGAAAGTGGGAGACAAAACATGTCTAGGTAAGCACAGATCTGCAGAAGAGAGGAAGGTAAAGAGATCTGCACATAGTGGTGGAGTGGAGTAGCACACATTCCATTTCATTTTGTTTATGTTTATTCGTAGAGCATCGTACATTCTTCTGATTGGCTGCATTAGACTAATTGCGTTAACAATAATACTCATTATTCATTGAAACATGGTGATGCACGTTCCAGGAAAACATGCGTGGAGTGTCCCACGGAAACACATGCGGCGCCGTTGGATCAAAGCCCTCACTCACTCACTCACTCACTCACTCTTCAATCCCGCCACAATGCTGAGCGACAATTTCGAATTTCACGCTACAGGGCCGTAACGGTTAAAAAGTGGGCAAACACACAACACATATAAAGGCGGGATTTGGGAAAATTGAAACGACAAGTGCTGAGCTGTGAACCACGTGGCAGTGCTCAGAAACGTTGTTCTTCCTCCTCGTACACTGCCCCTTGGTACGCGTAAAAAGACACGGTGAGAAACCCGGCGCAGTGTGTGTGGTGTGGCCCACATACCTTTTTAGGATGGATCCATCTATCGATGCGGTTGCGAGAAAGGGCAAACGAAAGAACCGCCCCTTTGGCCCAAACCACGTCTCTTCCCGCCACACTTTCAACCATCCTATTTTATTCCTCTCAACTAACCCCTTCTTTCAATTCTTAATTCTTTTTTGCAGGCCTTATGCATTGTTTGTTTATTTTATGAGAAATATGCATTATGTCTACATTTGTGTTTTTTTTCTTTTTTATTTTATGAAAAACAGCCTTCTACGTGAAGAATTTTTTTAGATAAAATAATGAAAATATTATACATCATCTTATTAATTAATTTTATAAAAAAATTGTATTTTTATTTCAAAGTAAGAGTTTCGATTTTCCTTTTCGTAGCTAAATCTGTGGAACGTGTTTTCTGACGAACTTGCATACGACAATGGACAGCGAGGACCCTCTGTCCATGGGTCCCATAACATACATTTCTACTATCGTCTATCCGTATAACATTTCATACATTTTTTTATTAAGAATAATTTGAATTAAATTAAACTATTTAAATATTCTTGTAATATAAGTAAAGTATTATATTATTGGTTTATGTTAGTTATGATTTATGATTTTTTATTTTATAGTATTTGTTATTTGTGTAAAATAATGTATAGAATCTGCTTTTTTATGCAAGGTTTTTTCGTATAAATTTATTTCAAAATGTAATGTGTATTTGACTTTACATTTAATCATAAAATTAATCATGTCTACCTGATTTCCAAGGTAAACATCACATTAAACACTATTACTATTTTGTAGGTTAGATTATTACATATTAATTTAAATTATATACTATAAAAATAAAATCAATTTAAATTACCTGAACACCACAACAATAACAATAAGGCTTAAATATATTTTTAGGTTATGTAAATACGATTCTGTCTATTTTTGCATAACGATTAACTTTTAGTAACAAATATTTTTAATTCATTTGGCTTAATTATATTAATTAATTTTACTTTAACAATAAAAAATGAATTAATATAATTAAAGTAATAAAAAATATTTCAAATTAAGATCAATAATTTTTTAGTTATATAATTTTAATCAAGTAACATACTTATTATTTAATATAAATAAAATTATTCTATACATACTATTTTTGTTTTTAATTTAATTATTAAATTTTAAAATTATATTTAAATAAAATAATTATAACTTGACTCTGCATATATATTTTATTTCTTATTTTATATCGTATTTTAGACCGACTCTAAAGTCATTTATGTTCTACTACATCACAGAAATATATTTTTTTAGAAAAAAATAAAATAAAATATGTTTTATATTTTTAGAATTACTAACTATAACAAATTATAATTATATTAGATATAAAAATCATTTTGTTTATATCCATATATTTTGCTATCTTTGTTATTTGATAAAATTTTTATTTGTGATATATTATAAATTAATATAATGATTCAATATTAAAATAAAAGTAATATATATATATATATACTATAAATAATTATCTTGATTTTGTGTAAAACATGTAGTATTAAAAAAATTAATTAAATGAAAAATAAATAAAAATATAAAATACATGATTTATATTAAATACTAATTGATATTTTTTCATAATTAACCTTAAATTGATTATAGTTCATGATGAAAACTAACGAAAAGAAAGATTAGAGAGTAAAATTAGACGGAGAGATATTTAAATTATAATAATAATAATAATTAATTTAAAATTACATAAACTTAAATCAAATTATTATGATGTAATTACTTTATTATAATTAAAAATCAAAATAAGCAAAGGGTGAACATCGATATGAAAATAAGCAAATGTGAATATCAAGATGAAAATAATAATAATAATTAATAAAAGAAGAGGTTAGGGTAATATGCAAAGGTGAATATCAAATATTGAAGAAGTGAATGCTAAAGGAAAAGCCGATCCAAGCGGTGGTATCACGTGCGCACGTCATAATTGCGGTCGCCAAATCTCACCTTAATTACCAAGTTTACTCAATTCCTTTTTGAACCCAAATCTGCCACGTGGCACCACCCTCTCCTAATATGTTCCTATCTGTTGAGTAGAGAGCAAGCAAAGAGACATGTGGAGATCCCACGTGTTGTCCACGCTGGAATGCGATTCACGCTGATTGGTCCAGAAGGACACGTGTCGTCCTCGTTTGATCGAAGATTAATGGACTAATTAAAAGATTAGCAAAATTATTGGGTGTGGCATGGAACAGAAGAAGGAAATTAGAAAGCTGGGTCAGCGAGCAGGCGTTAGTCACGCCATGTGACAGTGCTGTGTGTGCTAACTTTCCCTGTGTAGGCATGCTAGGGGCTACCCTATACTCAATATTTAAATAAAATAAAAATAAATTATATCAATAAAAAAATCGTAACGATAAAATATTTTAAATATTTTGTAGATATATAAGGGTGTTACTTTGTGAATACGGAGGCAAATAGTCAAGAACAAAGCGTGCTTTGTGCTTTGGCCTTTGGGGAAACCGCATTAGAAAGAGAGAGTCACTGTTTGTTGCACACTCGGTTAAGGGAAGAAGAAGGAGAAGAAGAACAAATCTTGCTAGTTTTCATTCTCGTGCGAACCTCACTATTCTTCTATTCTCATACAAATACACGAATATTCGTTCACTCTTTGAAGAACTGCGAAAAGAAAATGGAGTGGCCTGCGTGTACGGACGAATACGAAAAGCTTATAATACGGATGAGCACTCCCAGGTTCTTAAACTATCCTCCCTCTCTTCTCTTCATGCGCTGCCTCTTTGTTTCTTTCACTTGAGATTATACTCTGCATGATTTACATCGATCTGTAAGTTTCGCAGCTGATTTTGTGTAATCGTGACCTATTATTCTGTTTATTCTTGTTTTTTTTTTTGTTGTTTTATGGACACAATATATGATTTTCTGCAAAAATATTACGAGTTTTTTTTTATTTAATCCGAATGGTTTTAACCCCTTACCTGATAATTCGAAAGCAGGTGGCATTTTTTTCCTGTGTTAGTTTATTTTCCAGCGAAATCCCTTTTTGGCAGACAAGAATGTTTCGTGTTAAGATGACCAGCTTTGCTTGGTTCCTATATTTTAAAGGATTTATTTTTTTGACAAAAGTCACACCGACTTTTGAATTTGATTTGTCCGCCGCTCATATTTTAACTGTTCTTTGACTTTTCTAATTGCATATGTAGTCTCCTATTCTTGTGAAACGTCTCTGTTCCCATCAGTGCATTCTTTGTATCTTGATGTTTGGAAGAGAAATCAGGGGACAAAGCAATTTTGCTAACTTTGACCTTTTCTTTGAAACAGGGTTGTCATTGACAATTCCGTGTTCTCTTCAGCTACTCTAGTGAAGGTAACCTCCGACGAAATGCTTACCCATATGGGCACAATTTGTTCCAAAATTATTTTGATTTCATGTAAAAAAAAATATTAAAACACTGTAGTCTGTGTGTCCATGAATTTCACAGGTTGACAGCGCTAGAAGGCTTGGTATTCTACTGGATGCTGTACAAGTGCTCACTGACCTGGACCTTTCTATTAAGAAAGCCTATATTTCTGCAGATGGCAAGTGGTGTATGGATGGTAAGCAAATTGTGATTTCGCTTTTAAATAATTGGTTTGGTTCAGGTTTTTTCTGGTGAAATTGGTAAATGCCCCAAGCACTTCTAACCTTTGCCTATTCAATGGACAGTTTTTCATGTCACTGATCAAAACGGAAACAAGATAACGGACGAGAGCGTTTTAAAATATATTGAGCAGGTATTTAATGGTGCTTATAAGTTCTAAATCAGTTACGTTTACAATTTTACTTTTAGAATTTGTTGTTTTTATATCGTATTTATTGTGGATCTAATTCTGATTTTTCTTATGACAGTCACTTGGGAGCAGTCAATATGGGAGAATCAAGAGTTCTAATGGTCTCACTGCTCTGGAATTGACAGGAACTGACCGAGTTGGTCTTTTATCGGAGGTGTTTGCAGTACTGGGTGATCTTCAATGTGATGTGGTTGAGGCCAAGGTTTGGACTCACAATGGGCGTATTGCTTCCCTAATCTATGTAAAAGATTCTAGTTCTGGGTCTACTATTGAGGACTCTCAGAAAATTAATAAGATTGAATTGCGCTTAAGAAATGTTTTGAAGGGAGACAATGACATTAGAAGTGCAAAGATTTCTGTTTCCATCTCTGCAATGCACACTGAAAGAAGGCTACATCAAATGATGTTCGCGGACCGTGATTATGAGAGGACTCCCATTCTCAAGTTTACTTCTGAGAACCCATTGGTGACGGTTCAGAATTGGGCAGGAAGGGGGTACTCAGTCGTGAATGTTCAGTGTAAAGACCGAACCAAGCTTTTATTCGATGTAGTATCCAATTTGACAGACATGGAATATGTTATATTTCATGCAACTATTAACACAAATGATGGCCGAGCATACTTGGTAATTATTCAACTTCCTTCCATCAAAACTAGTTTTTTCCCCACTTACTTAATTTATGTTACTTAACTTTGTTCTTATCTTCATTTTAGGAGTTTTATATAAGGCACAAGGATGGCACTCCAATTAGTTCAGAACCAGAGCGTCAACGTGTAATTCAATGCTTAAAAGCTGCAGTAGAGAGAAGGGCATCTGAGGTATAGGCTTCCTTCCTCTCGCTCGCGTTTGCTAAATTTGTTATTATATAAAGTGATGAAGATTAAGTAATTGTTAATTATTTGATTACAGGGTGTTCGACTAGAGTTATGCAAAGAAGACAGTCAGGGGCTTCTAGCGGAAGTAACAAGGACTTTCCGTGAGAATGGGCTCAATGTGACCAGGGCTGAGATATCCACCGTTGGGAATATGGCCACAAATATATTCTATGTAACGGATGCCATTGGAAATCCAGCTGATTCAAAAATTATCGAATCTGTTAGGCAGAAAATTGGGTTAAGCAATTTAGAAGTGAAGGAATTGCCGATGGTAAATCATCAGGAGATACAGAGAGAGGATGAAGCGGTTGGAATTGGTGGGGCAGTGTTGTTGTCCCTAGGGAGTCTCGTGAAAAGAAATCTGTATAATTTGGGACTAATCAAATCCTGTTCCTAAGTCAGAGGCTAGGGCACAGGAATTTAGGGGTTGGTTTTCTCTATGCATCTTTTGGTAGCATATTATTCTTTGCTTCAGATTTGGGTTGTGTACATAAAAAGTTGAAAGGTAGAATTTGGTGATAGCAGTTGTTTTAGTTGGTTGAGTTGGGTTTGGTAGGTCGAAATGGATTGTTAGATGTACAGCTGTAGCGGTTTGGGGTCCCCACCATTTTAAATGCTCTTTTGAAATGAACAGTTTTTGCTTATTGCAGAAAGATCATCACGTCAGTGGGAAGGTTGTGAACGTGAGAAGAAATATAGAATAGGATTCTTGATGGCAGAGGCACAAGTTTAGGTAGTGACAGAACAAATTGGTTTCATTGTTCCTTCAACACCAAGCCCATCCGCATGTGTATATATCCACTTTACCTTCATGTTTATCAATATTAAATTTAGTGGTTGACTATTTTCTATTTTCAACTCTCCCTTCATTTTGCCTTTCCTCTCTTTCCTGCTCTCTACGTTTTATCACTGTTAGACGTCATGGTTCATAAAAGTTTCCCTAATTCAAAGACCCTTTATATTGATTATGTCGAGGGATTGTTAAAGAAATAAAATATATCTTTTGTTTACATTTTTTGTTTGAATTCATGATTCGATGGATTAACAATTGGCTTCTTTTATCTGTTGAAGCTAACGGTATCATATGCAGAAAATAATTATAATAATTGATTATGCTGTAATATCCTTATTTATTGAAATAAAAGTTAGGCTAATATACTTATTTGTTTTGATAAAATTTAGGTAATTATAATGAAGAGGACTAACGATGTATGGTCAATTGAAGAGTTATTAAATTAGTATATTAATTAAGAAATAAATATATTTTGAATATTTAAAAATGTTAAGTTGAAACAGAATGTATTCTTTAGAGCAATCCAAAAAAGAGGTTAAGTTCATTCTTGGTTGCTTTCAAAGGAATTCATCTTGATTATGGTGGGAAAGTGGAAAATACTTAGTATTGGTTCTTTAATTAAAGTCTGATTAACTTTGAAGACAAACAAAGGCTTCTAATCATAATGCAATACAATGTTTCTTTGATTGTAATTTAGAAAAGCCGACATCTGAGTTTGATAGAGACGCACCCGATCACGTGGAAATAACACGAGTTACGTTGATAAGGACACGAGGGATTACAACATGAAATTCCAGACAATGTGATTGAGAAACCCTAGATCTTATTGGACATATCAATCTGCACTCTACACTGAGAAAACCATCCAAAAAGCCAAGCTTTGCTCTTCCAATGATGATGTACCAATTACTATATATTCCGTATTCAGTAAAGATAAGGGTATTGTGTATATTATATATATATATATATATATATATTCTTCTCTTAATTAAGTGAGACGTGTTTTAAATTTTAGAAGGGATAATGACTCGGAGGAAGTGACTTATCACAAAACATGCATGATAGGGTTAGAAAAAGAAAAACACGTGAAAAAGGAGGTCGTAAAGGTTAGCGAGTTGTTGCCGCTATTTGTAGTTGCGCTGGTTTTGTTTGTTTCCACAATTTTCACATGCATTCTCTTGTTTTCTTTCACCTCTCTGTAGGTCACTCCCAACAACACACTCTTCCTCCTCCTCCAATGTCTTTATCATTTCTTTTCTTTTTTTCATTATATATTACCCTTTGTAAAATGATTGAGGTTTATAAACTTAAAAAAATCAATCAATTTTTATTAACTAAAATGTTATAGTAAATAAAAACAAAACAAAAAAGGTCAAACAATATTTTATCACTTTATTTGACAAAGATAATAACGCCACTACATGACTACGATCAGACAAAATATTGACAGAGGAATAATCAATTGAAGCCAAACTATACTTCTTTTACTTAACTATCAAAAGTTAAAAGTTATGAAAATCTTTAATCGATTACTTTCTTAATTCTTATAACTATCGAATCAGTTAATATATAAGACATATATCCAGCCAAAAACCAATGAGTTGATGCATCACCTCTCATATGTGAGTTAGTGCTCAAGACGAAAACAAAAACAATCGAAATATTGATTGTTGAAATATAGCATAAAAGTAACATTAAAAAATGTTCATTATTAAAAATATGACAAAAAGTAAACCAAAAAAAAAAGACAACAGAAAGAAACACATGAAATGCCTACAATGGAACTCGACATAATTTTTAGGGATTTTTTTTACTTTGTTTAATGGTAAGTTGGAAAGAAAGCAGAAAAAAACAAAGAATAAGTGACTGGAAATAAATAAATTAATAAAACAAGCTTTATACACTGTAGAGTTTCTTCATTTACAATGACTAGTTGTCTTTTATAAAGAGGTATATCCACGATAAATATATGAGTGAGTCAAACTGAGTTAATTCAAAGGTGGTAACTTAAAGTGCTTGAAATAAAAAACATATAAATACTGGAAGTAAAAATCCTACACAATTTCCAAGGAATAATAATATCAATTTAGATAAATATATGGAATTAACCTCTTTCGGCACCTTTGAATATATCTTCAACTTGCTTCCATGAAAGGAAATAAATAAAGATAATATTCTATAGTCTGCCATGCCTCCTTGAATTGACAGATGGACTATATACATGGCAAGTTATAATGTTATAAGTCAATGATATAACTTTGATCATTGTTCATATTTATATATAACACTTTTTAATCATCTTTTTAGGGTTATAGCTAGGGTGGTTGCATTTGCAGAAAGCCTGTGTTCTGAGGAAGAACAATAATATAAATCCAAGGGAATAGCAGTTGGAGAGGAGAAGAAAATGATGTCACTGTTATATTAAGAACAGATGTTGTTTTCCTTGGCGTATCAATGGCCTTATAATCTGATATCTATCCATTTTACGATAATGACAAGTCACCAAGTTGCACAAATAAATTAAGCTCACTGTTTCGTCTACCCAACAATGTTTATACGTTAAAACGTTACAATCCAAGTTGCACACTGGCTTTGTCTTTGATTTCGATGTTATATTACTTGTTTGCTCAAAAGATGATTATTGGTTGCTTCTGCAAAGAATCTTGAACCGATTTGTGCCTGCTCATGCAAGTGTTCAAGCCAATGCGTTTGCAAATGACATGACAATGAACTGTTACAGTCAAAGGAAACAAAGAAATTACTTGGATTATATGGTTATCGTAGATTATGTCGAGGGATTGTGTTTGAAAATAAAGGTAAATAATCAATTATCTTCTTTTACTCTCTATCAAAATAAAACATTGAACCTTGAAAAAATATGATATTTTTTTGTATGAGGCTATTATTTCTACTCTTTGAAAAGTATAGAAGTTAAAATTTCAAAAGATGAATTAAAATTATATTATCTTCAAAATATAGGAAATATAATAATTAATAAATTCTTTATAAAAACTATGCAAAATGACGTATTTTCACAAACATCTAAGAATATATTCAATTCATAATTTTAAAGCTAATTAAAATGTGTGGATGGAATTGTCTCGTTGGAGACTTCGAATCTTCTTCTTTTTTTTAATCTTCCAATTTCAAAGGGTGCTATAACAACTAAGTACGGCAATTAATTAGGGTTTCTAAAAAGAACATTCCTAGAATATTTTTTTTTATGATGACAAAGTTAGCCTTTTCAATGTTATCAAAAGATAGCTATTAAAAATCTAACTTATATGTAAAATTATTTACACAGTAATAAAAAATGTTTTTATATATATATTTGAAATACACAACAAAAATAATTAAATTTTCGTTGTGTTTTAAAATAACAACAGAAACCTGTATTTATGTTAATTTACTGAAAAAATTAACACAAAAAAATAGGTTTTGTTGTATAAATAGTTTACAAAGAAATCAATGATGAAAATAAGTTTTCAGGATATATTTTGTCAAGTGTGTTTCTTTAACAAAGTTAAAAGGGATGGGAGTGAGAATGATAACTTAATTCACATATGTATAATAGAATTATCCTGAGCTACTATTGAGTAATTCACATATGTAATATTATAATTACTAGATAATTAATTTTAATGTACGTAATTAACACTAATTTAACAATATGGTGATTAAAAACCAAGTACTTCTAAACAATAGTGACCAAGCTAAATATAGTAATGTTAAACCAATGCCTTTTCAATGATGGTATGTATACAGATTGAAGTTAACAAATTGAAACACAACACCAAGTATTCCCTCACCGGAAGTGTGGGTATCATTTCAATTAGAAAACTTGGTTTGTGTCTATTATACATACAAAGGTGAATAATTATATTGCTTGCTTCAGTCTATCTGTTCAATGATATAGCTAACCCTGCACCAGACTCTTGTACACAATATTCTTATAACTCGACATATTGTTGCTATTCCAGTAGGTTCTAAGAATCAATATACTTCTGTTCTGATTCAAAGAATGAACATGAATTGCAATGTGGATGCTGGTTCAATCTTCCTTCGAAAGAAATCTCCCTTGAATTTCCCCTCCTAAAAAACACAGGGAAAATATCATTCTTTACCAAGTATCAAAATGAACACAAGCCAGCAAACTGATCTCTTCAGTGTTTGAAAACAACATGACAAGTAATTAACTGTTCTTTGCCATACCCTTCTGGAAGTTTACAGCACCCATAACGCAAGAAATCAACTACAACTAATTATCCAAAGATGTGTAAATCATCCTGCCACAAGATTAACACTTATCAATAAATACATCCATTTTAATAAAATGTATAAAATTGAGAAATAGCTAAGTCTTTTTAAATTAACCATACCAAAATACAGAGAGGAAAAGGGTAAAAAGAAGGTAGAAGAGTTTGACAAGCCTTTGCTTCTTTTCCCAAGGGAGCATGTTGAATATCTCAGTTATATCAACCAAATGCCTTCTTTGCCTGTACCTGATCCAAGGATTCAATTACGCAATCAATACAACTGTATTATGCACATTTCAGTACATTGTAATTTCAAGCATTGTTATGTGCGTCTGTGGATTCTAAACTAATCCCAAATTTTCAAAGGTTTCAGGCTTGTTGACAAATAAACATAAGAATTGTGCGTGTATAAGCTGGTGCATGTGTGCATATGACAGGCTGTATATGTTTCAAATCAAATTAACACAAATTAAGACAAATAGAGGAAAAATTGAACTGAATAAGAGAACAAAGATTCAATAAGAAAAATGAAGAACTCCCTAAACATTCGTAGACTCTCTAAAATGTAAAATATTGCAAGGACCCAGAGTTTAACTCAATTCATACTCTGTTCTCTTCTCACACCTATATAACAGTTCAAAAGTGCATATTTTCCCTTAGAAAGAGGTTTTCAAGAAACAGAAAAATTAGTTTTAGTGGCGTGGAGTCTGCCATTCACGATTTTGGATATAAGAAATGAAAGTTATTCAAAGTAATTGCAGCTTGAATATGATTCATGGATTCACATTTGATTTGATTCAACATAAAACTAAACGCGCATGTAATTACTATAAGAAACGTAGCCTAACAAAAGTCCATGAATACAAAAACCAATACTTAGGTCACTGACTCATGCAACATCACCAAAATACTCTTACAAAAGTTCAAACTCAAGCTATATATAAGTTCTCACCCTCAATCTGACGAGCGGAGCAGTTTAGAATTAATGATCGTGTATCATAAAGAAACAAGAAGGTGGCGAAAATTGTTCGTAGAATTGGAAAAAACTTACAATCTGATGTTGTAAAAAGTGTAAGGAACACAAAAGAGTGCCATAATCCAATGCCTGGTAACTAGGTAGAAGAAGCATAGGACAGCTTGCGTAGCAAACTCTGGGAAAACCACTATATTTATTCGAGTAGAGGAGTCATAAGGATTTATATAATCAAATTCTAGGTCTGCCAGGCACATTAGCTGCAAAAAAAAACCGTGAAACAAGGCATCACATCACGTTAGAGGATAATTATATTGGAACAACCAAACAAAATCATATATATAACATATATGTGTTCATATTATATAACATGCAACAAATCTTGGAACATCAAAACGACATCGATATCGACAGAAAGGTGAAAAATGGAAGTTGGCATTGGTTAAGAAGAAAGAACCTGGTAAGTGACGAGAACAAGCAAGGCAATAAGGAGGAAGAAGGAGACGAGCCAAGCGAGTAGATCGGCCATTGTCTCCCGCTCCTTCTTCCCCTTCAAACGCAGGTACGTGCGTTAGCTGGTGCTACGGTACGTGCACAGTTCTTACGCCTTCCCCTCCCGCTATATTTCTAGGCCCCTTCACGCCATTCACGCATCACCACCAACAAAACCAACCATACACAACCATCATTTTTTCTAGGTTAACTAAACAACCGCAATGTTACATGTTATTCGTCCAATTGATGTTTAATAGTAAGTTTAAACTGTGTTTTTTTTTTTTTTCAATCAGTATAAAATTCGCGAATTTGACACTTATTGGTATTCTGTCATACATTATAAATGTCTGATATCTTTTAACTTAAACTTTAGACATAAAAATAGTGATTTTAAATTTTATAATGTTTCAGAAATCGAGACCGAAATTTGTTCTTTTATAAAGGCTATAAAAATTCGATCATTTTAAATCTTTGAGAAATATAAAATTAAAATTAAAATTCTCTCATTTATGGAGAATTAAAAACATATTTAAGTTTCACTATTAATATTCTATCATTAAATTCTTTCTTCTGTTAACTTAATATCATCAACCCAAACTTCTATAACTGGAGGACAATTATTATTTATTTGTTTTTCTTCACTGAATTTAAAATTATTTTATTTTCACATGCTCACTCTTTTGTTTTTATAATCCTTTCTAAATTTAAAGTTTGTTCGTTTTTACAGTTGTTTTTATTAATCTTTTAAAAAAATCGTAAACCAAATAGTGTTGACTTTATAGAAATAATTTGTTTTGTTATGTACGAAATATATAAAATATAAAACTGCATTAATAAAATATCAATCATTATTACCTTTTAATTATTTTAACTTTTGTATTTTTTTGGATAAAAATTTAAATATTTTATTTTATTCAAATTATTGATTAAAGTGTGTATTGAATATTTACTTATTAATCAAAATCTTATTATTATAGACACTAAATTTACAAAATTCATATTATAAAGGATGACAATTAGTTGTGTAATATGTTACTAGTTGAAAATCCAATACATTAATTTATTGGTTTGTTATATATTACTCAAGTTGTCAAATTATCATCTTTCTATAATAAATAAGCAATTTTAAATAACAAGATTTCTCAATTCATCTCAATCATAAGTTTAATCCTGACCCATATGATAAAAGCCGATAAAAGTCTAAAGGATAAAAAACTCAAATAATAAAAAAAAAAGTTTATATGAATAAAATTTCCAGAATAAACCTATAGATAAAGGTTAGTCTATGGATCAATTTAAAATAAATTATTTTAAAAATGAAATTATTTAAAAAGTATATATTTTTATTTCTCATCTATTTTACTTTATTAAATAATTAATACTTTGTTTTTGTTTTTTTATTATTTATTCTATTTTTCTTTCTCTCTATTTCTCTTCCTAAAATTCTATAAAAACAAAGAAAAACTTGAATTATATTACAAATATTGTTGAATTATGCGGATAGGTAAAAAGTTAGAGCTCGTAGTTAAAGATACCATTCTTTTCACTCAAGAATAAAATAACAAAAAAGTCATTATTCACTTGTAATTTGACTTAGGTAATTATGTTGTAAGACGATTAATATAACATGCATTATATCTTTCAATATTTTTAAAACTGAATCGTGAAAATATGCGTCATGCTATAAAAGTTTAATTGGATGAAATCAAATTTAATAAAATAAAATTTTTAATAATATAATAAATATAAAATAATTTTATTATTAATAATAATTTAAAAATAAATAATTACAATAATAATAAAAATTGTTATTACTTTATAAATTATGAAAGATTGATAAGTATGAAAATAAAATAAAAACTAGAAAAAAATTACTATATAGATAAAAAAAAGTTGAAAAAACATTGTATTTATTTGTAAAAAAATTATTATTTTTAAAAAATTAATAACTTTGATCTTTAATTTTTCTTTTTTATTAAAATTAGTTTGATAAAATAATTCTGTTAGTTATTTTTTTTTTCAATTTTATGCGGATTTAATTTAAATTTAATTATTTCAAAATAACAAAATAATTTTTGGATCGGTTAGGCCGGCCTCCAGTTTTAAAACAGAGATATCTCTTGTTATTTTTATTTCTTTTATATTACTAAATAAAAATATATTTTATATTTGTTTTTGTTAAATTTTTAATAAATATTCAGAAGCACGAGATAAAAAACATAATATTGTTATATGTATTTATGAAATAAAAAATTATTTGTGTAAACTTTCACTATCACTATTTTTTTAAAAGGAAATTGGAGTTTTTTTAAAAACATATTTTATAATTATAGTTATGTAGAGAAAAGAAATAAATTTTGTAAGTATTTTATTAAATTATATAAGTAAGAGATAAATAAATGAAAAGAAGATAAATAAATTTTAAAATGTTATTTATCACTTTATCTCTATTTGACATTTTTATTCTATTGTTTTATTTGATATTTATATTTATAATTTGAATAGAAATGAATGGATGATTGAAAAGCAACAGATAAAAAAATGGTTGCTTTTTCCCATCATTGATTGAAGCAGCAAAATAACAAGGGAGATTCTGACTTTCCTCATCGGGAGCAAACTACAATGTTCCAAAGACGTTGAGCTCTTCTTACAATTTTGCTAATCTTGCGGGCAATGAAAGAAGGAATCAACAATGGAGGATTTGCGATGGATGGAGTAGACCCACGTGTGACTAATTCGGGGGCACTTCCCGAATGAAATGAAGTCATAGAAGCATCACTATTCTTCCGCAGATAAAAATTTCTACTACCCGCATCAGCAATGACTTCGGATTTATCCAAACCTTGCAAGCAATTGTCGTATTCCAAATAAATAATGCAACTAAGAAGCTCTTCGCTCATATAGAAATGTTGTTTTGAGAAAATAGTAACCAGTATCTTAAACATACTGGTTAGATAATGATAATGAAAAAGTTAAATAAAACTCTTGTTGATATCTTTGCTAATAATTCTGCATTGAAGATTTGACTTACTCTGGAGACTGAAATGAGAGTGGTGCAACTGGAATGAAGATGCCATTTTCGGATCGATATTGGGGCTCCTTCCTTCTTCTCTATATTTATCCACCACAAGCTTTATTGTGTCGTCCACAGTGGAGCCCAGTTTAACCATGGTTTGAACTGGCCCTGGACTTCCCTCAACGGTCACATTAACTACCACCTTAGCCTCTTTGTCGTACCCCTTTATTATCTAATACAACAATACATCACCAGTTTACCAGGTGTAGCACTGCCAATTAGTCTTTATTTTTACTATTCTCAACTACTAATTAATTACATAAAATTCATGCATACTACGTCACTATTATGCAAGGTATATTATTAAATAACACTCCATGGCAAAAGAAATAAAATAAAATAACATAAACTATTTCTAACACAAGTTTAAATATTTTACAAAAAAAAATCAATTTATCTATTATTTATAAAAGTTAAGATTATATTAATTTTTTTATCAATCATATTCTTATTTATGATTTTTTTTAAATATAGAATATTCCTTTTTATGATATTTTAAGTGAATCATAATTTACAATTAACTATTAATTTATATCTGTCAATAATATAATAGACACTTTTTTATTTTATTTTTTTCATCTAAAATTATGCTGAAAGATACAATAAATCTAACTAAAAAGAAAAAAAAATTAAGTAAATTATAAAGTCATAATAATTTTACATCATATTATGAAAATCTATTTTTTATATTCACATAATGATTTTTTTAGTTGAGGTTCAATATATATATATATATATATATATATATATATATATATATATATAATGAAATAATTTTTTTTTTGTAAGAAGGAAAATCTTCTTTTAATTTTTAAATTAAATTTATCGTGATAAAATTTGTAAGATTAAAAATCATATAGGAAATTTGATTTTATTTTATTTTACACTTTATTGGGGAAAGAAATAAATTATTATGAGCAATTTTGATGCAGAGAAAATGACAAAATGAAAAGGATATTATTAAAAAAACTTAATATAAATTATGATAATTAATGCGTCAAACCTTGAATGACAAAAAGAGATAATATTATTTTGGTCTAACCAAATTATGAGGTATGATATTACTGGCATGTACTTTCATGTATTGATTGCGTTCATAATTTGGAATTTAATTTGATGAAATAAATAGAAAACATGTGAATTAAAAATCTAAATTGTTAATAATGTACAAATATAAATTTCAAATGATTTATTTGATACTTCAAGAATGAATAGCTTTTCAAGTCACCTCTCAAGTTTTTCAAGGTTGCGTAGAGTAAAGGCATGAACAATGGCAAGTTTGGGACACAGAAGAAAAAACAAAAACCTCTCATCCTTTAAGTTTGATCCTGTTCTATCTTCAACCTTACAGAACAATAACAATCAGGATTCTTTCCAATTGGGGGGCTATATCAAAAAAGAATGTTTAGTATAAGTTCATTTATACCAAACTTCATTTTCTGGTTTTCCTCAAACGAAAAGAAACACATGAGAAAGAGAATCCCTGGATTAGATAGCAAATTACGCAACCTTAACATGCAAGATAAATGAAAGGATTTATTAAAAAGTTGTTTATAATCACTCAACCCTAATTGTAGCCTTCTACTAACCGGAAAGAGTAACACGATGTTCGTTCATAAATCGTTGCTAAATTGAAAGTAAACATTTATATTTTCATAATAATAATAATTAACAAAAATGAAAAGAGTGTTTAGTAAAGTTGAGAGTGACCTGTTTAGTGTGAAGTCGAGGAGAGGAAAAGGGAGAAGGGGTAGAGAGAAAGGCGTCGGAAAACGTTTTAGGTCGGAAAAACGAGCCTCCTCCACTCTTCCAATAGTGTCCGTCAACATCAAGGTCGACGTCAGCATCGCCGTTATCTCGACGTGAAAGCAGAGGCGCCGATGAGCAGCGCTGCAAGATCTTGATAGGCTTTGACTTGTTCTTCGTCCTGCGGCGGGGCGACGGTGACGGGTGCGGTTGCGGTGGTTTGTTTCTCCGAGCGGAACGCAACGGCGGTGACATAGAAGGCTGGTTGGTGATCGGAGTTAAATTATACGGATTGGATGAGTTTGGTGAATGAAAATGAAGAGAATAAATTTTGGGTAGTTGCGTGAATGTATTTGAGATTAAAAAGAGAATGGTTGTTGACGTGGATTGGAAGGGGTAACTGCACTGTTGTTTTTTTTCTTTTACACTACCAGGTGTGTAAACCAGTATAAGTCAATTGAACTCTTAGACTTTGCTTATTGTAATAATTAATAATTCATCTTTTTAACTTATGTATAATTTATTAATAATATAATATAATATTTCTTAATAATTAAAATAAATTAATATCGATATAATATATAAAAGACATCAATGTAACATTTTAAAACAATTAAGATTTTTTATGAATTAAAAGAATAACGAACAGTAAAAAGTGTAATTTATTTATTAATATATATGTCTTTTTTCTTTTGAGGAATCTCATTTTATTTTATTCTTTCTTTCTCAGAGTCACGGATAGGGAAGGAAAACGGATCAGTGAGTTCCATATTTAGTCTGTTTTATTGGGTTATAAATTTTGATTTATCCATTATAGGATAGATTGGCAAGTTGGTCTATTATAATTTAGAAAAAAAAATTTAATAAATTTAATAATAAAATTATTATTTATTTATTAATAATTTAATATATATTTTTTAAATTAATAATATAAATTAATATATTATTTTAAATTAATAATTTAATATATTAATAATATAAATTACAGATTAACCGTTTCTTCATATCTATCTTATTTTATTATCTCTAATTATACATTAATTCGTTAAATCTAATTCCCTTTATCATCTCGGATTATACATTAGTTTACCAAACTTAACTCATTTTGTGATTGTTTTATATACTTTCCTCCCCGTTAGGTAATGCATCCACTGTTTTCGAGTGATTAATCGTTAAATAAATACAGATACGGATAATATATTAATCACGGTGTGCTTTCGTCATTATATTTTAAAAATTAAACTTTAAATTATTATTCATCTTCTAATAATTAAATATGAGTCCATTTGTCGTGTATCTATTTATATCTTACATGTATTTTTATTTAGATGATGTAATTTTTTTTTAAATCTCACAAAAAATAAGTTTTTTTTTCATTTTATTAAAATGTTCAATATTTTTTAAGTTATGGGTAACTGTTTATATATAAATTATGATGTAAGTTCAACTACTGAATTTTAGTTTTAAAAATATTAGAATTTAATTAATGTATAAAGATTAATAACTTAGATTGAAGGAAATAAGTGGTTAATAAAGATCATGCATACATATGTAAATATCAAACGAATATATTTAATTTTGAGGTAATTCATCATCTCTGTTCGCTTAATCCTGAGATTTGTGTTGTGTGTGAAACGTAACTTGAAATCAAAAAAGACGAAAGAGAAATATTACTGAGAGGATGAGAAATGTCACAGCCTTATATTTGTAAATTGTGTATCCTAATAGATAATGAAGCAGTAAATTTAATAACATAAAATAAAAATTAAAAATATATGATTAACTCAAATTATGGCTCGAGAATACAATAATTATTGTGTATCACATTTGCTTAAAAATAACTAAACAATTGAAGTCACTAATTGGTAGAAGATATTATAAAATATATTAAAATTAATAATTTAAGCATAATAAAACAATGAAGTTAGAAATTCCTAAAAAATTAGCTAGAACTTATGTTATGATATAAAATCCACATACAAAAATAATTCAGATTTAAATATCATAAAAAATATTAAAAATAAATGAATTTATGTTCATGGTATAAGTTTGCTTGTGTGACATTTCAGAAAGTTTATGCTTATTATACTATTATTTTTTATTAATACATGTCAAGTTTTTATATATCAATATTTTTTATATTTTATTTAAAAAATATAAATGGTAAATAAGTCAAATTTCTTTTAATTACTAATTTAAAAAATTCTAACAAAATATACTATCTATTTTAGGATTTAAACATTAATATTCAAAATTATTAATAAGCCCGTCTAGCTCAGTTGGTAGAGCGCAAGGCTCTTAACCTTGTGGTCGTGGGTTCGAGCCCCACGGTGGGCGTTTTTTATTTACTTAACTTTTTATTTCTGGGCCTTGTGAATTCATTTTAAAAAACCCACTATTTTGTCCATTTTATTTGATTTTTGGGCCGTAATGGTTTCATTTAGAAAAATACACTTAATTGTGGGCTAACACTGAACAGTGTGAATGGGCTAGTAGTTTGCTATTGGACATTTTTCATTTCTAATGAAGTTTAGCTTGAGAACCGAGAACTGTTATTGGGGTCACCACCAATTATGTGGTTTCTAATCTAATCTCTTACACAAAAAATTCCACTTTTCCAAATTTTGTGATGAATTTGTTGGCCCAGTTCTTGCTTTTTCTTGAACCACTTTTATAAAATGAGTGAAATTTGAAATGAGCTTTCTCATCGTTCCTCAGACTTTATGGCTTTCTTTTTTGATGGCATAATTAGGAATATCGGATTTTGAATCTTTGCCGTAGGCGTGGTAATCATAGGGCTCCCATTTTAGCCCTAACCAAAACCTCTCTTTCTCACCCTGTCACTCTCCATACATGCTTCTTCCTTATCCATTTTTGGCATGTCAGATCATGAGGCCTTAAAAGATGTACAAATTGCTGCTTTTCTCCATTCTTTTTCTTCCATTTCTCCTTCCAAACAAGAAAGTCGAACAGAAAAGGAAACCATGGTTTTGTAAAACCCTCCTACCTACGTAGTGGCAGCAATGTGTTTCACGATGTACAAAAAGAGATTCAATGTTCTCGTGATTAAGTTTGTGTATGACCAAACACTTAGCCTAAAGTCTAAACAACACACACATTTACAGAAAGAGAGATTGTCCGTGAAAATGATTTATGGGAATTTAAATTGACGGCTACAATTTATTTTTATACAAAAGAAAAAAAAATGAAAACGAGAAGAAACACAGTATTTGAGTGTGGAAAAAAAGAGACAATTAGAGGTCGTATTCAACAGAATTTGTCACTTTTGGTGCTCCTGTTGAGAGTGTTGTTGATGCAACATATTGCCATAATGGTAATGTGCATTATTATAAGTATGTGATATTGGTAAGTATGTGCAAAAATAAAGTGGCGGATTTGGCTATGGTGTTGTTTATGGTAAGAATTTGAGGGTTTTCTAAATAAATGCATCTATCATTATTTCACTTTATTCAAACAAGTGGCCTCTTATCTCCATGATGATCTTTATGGCCCAATATTGTTGTCCTATCTTTGGGTCTGAGCCTCCCTCTCTCCCTTTTCCACGTAACGTTATTTTAATGTCATGTATTTCTCAACAAAACATATATATTATTTATGCCTTTTTTTACAATACTACTTTTAGACCCAAAAAAAATTCGAACTTGTTTATAAATTTGTGAAGTATAATAAACAGACAAATATTTTAAATTACTGATTATGTCTCTTAATTAATTTTACTCGTCACACGTTCTTTGACTGTATTTTTAGCTTTATGTGCACATTAAATATATCATATCATTTTCGTATGTTTTAGTGATTTTTAAGATACCAAAATCTATTTGTTGCTTTTAGTCTCTCTTTTTTCAAATAATTTGAACTTAATTTAATTATACTTTACCTTTTTATTTTTTGTAAATAGTTAACAAAAAATAGTGTCCATCTTATTATTCAATTGATCTTATTTTAAATTAACTCGTCAATACTAATTGAACTACAGTAACATTTATTTCATACATGGCTTTTAAAGATTAGACTGAAGTTCATTAGGTTCCTTTCCTTTCTATAATAAATCATAAAAATAATATATTTAGAAGAAAAAAATTACTCAAATAATCTATATGAATTTATTTTTTAAAATAGATTTTTTTGTTATTTATAGGTAGTGGTTTTTCTCTTCATTTTTTTCTTTTTTTTTTATCTTATTTCTTTTGTTTTTTCTCTCATTTCTCACTTATTCTCCTAAATGAATTATTGTATTAAAATTTAATAAAAATATATTAAAATAAATATTTTTAAAACAATATTAAAATTTAAAAAATATTAACTAATTTTTTAAAATTATGATGATAATAAATAATTTTATTTGTTCTGACAATAAATAATTTTATTTATAATAACGTAAATAAATAATTTAAAATTATTTTATTGTAATAAACAATCAATCATCTAATTAAAAAATATTAAATATTTATAAATTAAAAATATTTTTATTTAATAATTACATCTCGTTATAATAATTTTGAGTTATGATAATTAATTAGATATTATAATTTAAAAAATATTTTAAATTAATTATTTCTTTAATAATTATAACATAATAATAATATTATTTGTAACATCTAAAATTTATTATATAATTTTTTTAAAATATAATATTTTTGGATTATTTGAATATTTGTATTTTCAATAATAATAAAAAACTTATTATCAAAATTTTAATCTATTATTTTCAATTAAAGAGTAAAAAAATATAAGAGAAGAAGAAAAAAAAGAGAAACAAATATTTATATTATATCAAACAAATTTATTTATTTTTTATTAAATTTTATATAAAAATAATAAACCAATTTAATTAAAAAAATAAATCGATAAATATTATATATAATTTTTTTAAAATATATTATTTATCATATTGATTTTCTTAAGATTTTTTAGTCAAGATCAATAAAAGTTATTTTTTATTTAATATATTAAATTTATTTATCTGAAGATCCAGGTGATAATTATTATTCGATCAAAATTACTTGATATTGTTTGACTCGATATCAATAGAGTTTTTATTTTAATATCAATCTTTATATTTATATATATATATATATATATATATATATATATATATATATATATATATATATATATAAAAGAGTGAAAGGATTAAAACATGGACTGAAATTAAGGGTATCTAAGTTAATCTGGTCTTGTCTTTAATCAATTAAAAATAAAATAAAATGGGTTGATAAAAAAATTAACTGAAACCGACTTTACCAAAAAATAAATTAATCTATTATTATTATTATTATTATAATATAAACTTTTAATCATATAATATATGTTTTATATTTTTTACTAATTAATATCTTCAATTATATGAATTAAAAAATTATTATTAAAATATTTAATTATAATTAATACTTTAAATTTATTTTATTATATTTGTTGAAAGTCCACATCGCTACCTCATATCATTTGGTATGGTTTAAATACATGTTAAGCTACTCCACATATCCAATTGGTTTTATGTTGAACCTTAACATGGTATCGAGCAAAGCCTAACATCTTTCGTTATTGTCATGGCAAAAGTTCTCTTTAGTGGTCAAGTACCTTTGCCGTCGAAGCCGTTGGAGGGTGTGTTGAAAGTCACATCGCCTACCTCATATCATTTGGTATGGTTTAAATACATGTTAATTACTCCACATATCACAATTGGTTTTATGTTGAACCTTAACAATATTAAATTATAATATTATAATATATTTATATATTTTATGAACATAATATTTTAAATTATAATTTATTTATTTTAATTATAATATGTACATATAAGTAATTAGAGGAAACAGAAAAGTTAAAATCATCCATCGACTTACGAATTTAAAACAGGATCACGAATTAAAATCTCAACCTAATTCATTTGTCATTTTTAATGAGAATGTTTTACTAACTTATATATATATATTATACTATAAAAATATTTTTATTTTATAATAAAAAATATCATATCTAAATAAAAAAATAAAATTTAATTAATTTAAATTATCTTATCTAAATAAAATATTTAAAAAGTTAAACAGTTTTAATTTAATATATTAATTTTTTTTTAATTATAGAATGTGACCTTGTACAAGATGTTGCCAAGTTTACACTAATAATTTATTTTACGACCAAATTATTAAGCATAGGCATTGATATTGATGAAAATAATATTGTTCATAATCATACTCAATGATGATCTAAATTATTTGTTCCTTTTTTATTTAAACATTTTAAAATGTTTATTACATTTAAATATAATAAATAACCATATACTTTATTTAAATTTTTTAACCATGTAAACTTTATTTAATATGATTATTTTAAAAATAATCTTAAAATTAAACAATACTTTTAACATAAAACTAACTGTAAGCATGAGAAGGAGTTGAAGCTCCCTACTGTACTATCAAATTTAAGTATGTGTTGGTAGAACTTGTAGCTCGTACGGAACAATTCGTGGGATAGATTATTTGTATAATTTTTTTAAAAATATTTCAATTAATAAATTATTTATAAATTGTTTCATTCAAATTTATCTTATATTTTTATTTTTATTCCTTTTTCATTTTCATGTTTACGTAGTGTATGATTATTTATTAAATTTAAATTATTATTAATAATAATATTTTATTTTTACTATTTTCTAAAATTTCATTTAAATATAATTGTGATTAAAGAAAATTAGAACTTAACCATTCATAAATTCATCAAAAGGGACAAGTGAACCATCCAGACAAAATTTATTTACTCATCCCACCTCATTTTTTGTTTCATTTTTTTATATCGGTAATAATAGATAATTTATTTATTTAATTACTCAATTATAATTAATATTAAATGAACATAATTTACTATTTAAAATATTATGGTAAATATTTTATAAATAAAACATTTTATTATTTATAAATCATTCAGATATTTCATTATTATTATTATTTTTATATTTTTTTAAACATTTAGTTGGAATTTAACTTAATACATCTCAAGATATTATTGTAATTTTTTTTAAGGAAGCTTCCAATATCGTATAATATTTTTAGTAAACTTAATTTTAACAATAAAATATATGGTTCAATTAATAATTTTATCATTTTATTTGTAAAAAAAATGTTTTTTTTTATACATATTTTATTATAGTCTTACTTTACATACTCTCTACTCTTTTTATAGTCTTTAGATTGAAATCTGACGTATATTATTAATGTTATATAACAATAAATTTTTAAAATAGATATTGTAAAAATCAATTACATGATGATATAAAAAAAATAATCAATGATCACGGGGAAATGTTGCCTTTTAATTAAAATAAAAAAATAATCACAAATCATAAATGAAATTATTAAAATATATTGATAATATAAACTATTTATTTTGTAACAGTGATTTTCACATATAAAATAATTTAAAATGAAGTGATACTATGTATTCATAAAATAACGAGAACCATAACAACTTTGAATAAAGACTATCAAATTATAATAATAAAAAAATTCAATATTTTTCCCGTTAAAATAAACTCTGAAGAATAAATGTTAATAAGATTAGTGAAGGCACAATAATTAATCTAGAATTCACATTTTTTATTACAACATTAAATTAATAAAAAATTACTACTTTGTACATTTATTATCTTTGTTTTTTATTCGTGTCACTCTGTGTCCTTTTATTCTCATTATTATTAACATTCTTTCCGCTATCACATTATTCCATTTTTTTTTCATTCACAATAAAACTAGTTTTCCTATATTCTATTTCTCCTTTTTCACAATTAATATAATAAAAAAATACTTTTATTTAATAACAGATAACTTATTTTATAAATAATGACACAAAAATAGCTATGAAAAAATAATTCTTTTATATAAAAATATAAATACATATACACTTAAAATGGGAAAAAAATACTATAATGTGAATAAATTATAATTAAAATTAACTAATTAAAAATAGTAGTAAAGTTTAATTAATATTTTTGTTTTTATATAATAAAGAACTATTGTTCTTAAATTACTTTTGAATAATATTTATTGAAAACTATATTCATATTTAAAGATAAAACATTTTTAAATATTAGTATTGAAGGCCACAGAACGTGAAACAGATGTTGAAACTCAAAATTAAAGGCCTCCAGGGACGCGTGATATCCACATGCAAGGAGTGGGAAGTGGGCTGCAACAGTCATAATCAGGTCTTCGTTTCCTACGTGGGATTGTAACAGGTGTTATACCATCGTTACCTCGTTGTAGCAGTTCCCATCAACATTCCTGAAGAATGTTCCCCACTCGCAGATAGTCTCCGCGTGAAATAGCGTGAACTTTTCTTTTTCCCAGAGTAGACGGAATGTTCTCCCTTCCAACCTCATTTGCCTTGCTATTTCTGGCTACCTTCTTCCTCCAACAACAAATTAAATCTCTCAACTTTTTTCATAATAATAAGACGCATCTTTCAAATAACAAATCCCAACGGAGATCGCCGCTTCCTTCCATGGCGGTAGCCCACCGGAAATTCAAATTCCTGCCACCGCCGCCACCTGCTTTTCCCGACTAAATGCACAAAACTCTATGCCTTTGAACATGTAATCAAATAAAATCATTCATCCCACTAAACAAAACCAGAGTTTTTTTCCATTTCCCGTTCGAATTGAAAATCATCATTGTTTCTTCAACTTCCCACTTGCAATGGCGAGTACCACACCCTCTGCTGACTCAGCTTCAGCCGATGAACTCACTGCAAAATCCGCGCACAAGCGCTACCAAGGATTGGTGACGGTTCGAACCAAAGCTATAAAGGGCAAAGGGGCATGGTATTGGACGCACCTGGAACCCATGCTGCTGCACAACACCGAAACGGGGCTTCCCAAAGCCGTCAAACTCAGGTGCTCCCTATGCGATGCCGTTTTCTCTGCTTCGAATCCCTCTCGCACCGCCTCTGAGCATCTAAAGCGCGGAACTTGCCCCAATTTCAATTCCGCCGCCAAACCAATCTCCTCCATTTTCCCCTCCGCCGCCGCCATGGCTGTCTCTCCACCATCTTCTCCGACCAACCACAACCACCGCAAGAGAACTTCCTCTTCCGTCCCCGTTTCTTCCTACGACCCGCCGCCGCTGGCGTTGGTGGATCCGTCTCGATTCCTCGGAGAGCTGACATACGCGCCGCCGCAACAACCGCATTTGATGCTGTCGGGAGGGAAGGAGGATTTGGGCGCTTTAGCTATGTTGGAAGACAGTGTGAAGAAGTTAAAGAGTCCCAAAACTTCACCTGGTCCAACTCTCACCAAAACTCAAGTCGATAGCGCCTTTGATTATCTCGCTGATTGGGTGTACGAGTCTTGTGGTTCTGTCTCTTTCTCCGCTCTGGAGCATCCTAAGTTCAGAGCGTTTCTTAACCAGGTTGGGTTACCTTCAGTGTCTATGAGAGAGTTCACTGGAAGTAGATTGGATGCGAAGTTTGAAAAAGCTAAAGCAGACTCGGAAGCGCGAATCAGAGACGCTTTGTTCTTTCAAGTATCCTCGGAGGGGTGGAAATGGAAGGGGATGAAGTACTACGAAGAGAAGTTGGTTAACATGAGCGTGAATCTCCCCAATGGGACAAGTTTGCACAGAAGGACGGTGTTTGTTACCGGTTCTACGCCTTCCAATTATGCGGAAGAAGTTATGTGGGAGACAGTCACCGGCATTTGTGGGAATGTAGTGCAACAATGTGTTGGCGTTGTTGCAGACAAGTTTAAGAATAAGGCGTTGAGAAACTTGGAGAATCGAAACCCTTGGATGGTTAACCTATCTTGTCAGTACCAAGGGTTCAATAGTTTGATCAAGGATTTCAACAAGGAGCTCTTGCTCTTTAGCACCGTAACGCAGAACTGTCTCAAGCTCGCGAGTTTCGTTAACTACGAAACTCAAGTAAGGAATAGTTTTCACAAGTACCAACAGCAGGAGTACGGACACGCGTGGTTGCTCCGAATGCCGTTGCCCTCGCGCGAGTTCGAGTCTTTTGACACTGTGTACGCAATGATGGAGGACTTGTTAGGTTCAGTTCGGGCGTTGCAGCTGATGATCTTGGACGAGTCTTTGAAAATGGCGTTCGTTGAAGATCCGAATGCTAGGGAAGTCGGGGACATGATTCGAGACGTGGGGTTTTGGAATGATTTGGAGGCGGTTCATTCCTTGGTTAAATTGGTGAAGGAGATGGTTCAGGAGATTGAGACAGAGAGGCCTCTTGTAGGACAATGTCTTCCACTTTGGGGTGAGTTCAGGGCACGAGTGAAGAATTGGTGCTCCAAATTCCACGTTGCGGAAGGAGCAGTGGAGAAAATCATTGAAAAACGGTTCATGAAAAACTACCACCCTGCTTGGGCTGCAGCATACATTCTTGACCCACTTTATTTGGTTAGGGACACGAGCGGAAATTACCTTCCACCGTTTAAATACTTGACGCCGGGGCAAGAGAAGGACGTAGATAAACTCGTAACCAGGCTCGTTTCAAGGGAGGAGGCTCATATTGTTCTAATGGAGCTCATGAAATGGAGAACGCAAGGACTAGATGCTGTGTATGCTCGTGCTGTGCAGATGAAGGAGAGAGATCATGTTACTGGGAAAATGAGGATTGTGAATCCCCAAAGCAGTAGACTTGTGTGGGAAACTTATCTCACTGAGTTTAAGTCCTTGGGAAGAGTTGCGGTGAGGTTGATTTTCCTTCACGCAACTTCGCGTGGCTTCAAATGCAATTGGTCTTCGTGGAGATGGGTGTGTGCGCAAGGACACTCCAGGGAAGCACTGGATAGGGCTCGCAAGTTGATTTTTATTGCAGCTCATTCCAAATTGGAAAGAAAGGATTTTTCAGGTGATGAAGAGAAGGATGCAGAGCTGTTCAGCATGGCAAATGGTGAGGACGATGTGTTAAACGAGGTTTTTGTTGACACATCCTCAGCGTGACAATTTTTTAAGGAATTTTAATTTTATAGGATTCATTCAATTCTTTCCACTACCCTCTCTTCTTTCTCTCGTTTTTCTTTTTCTTCTTACTTACTTTTGGTATTTGCTTCTCGCTCTGAGGATTTTGAGGCAGTCATTGGCGGTTGAATTTGTATTTCCAGCTGCCTGAATTCGTGATTCGAGCAACTTCCGATCGTTCACCGTCGCAAATGATTTATTTTCAAGTCGTTAAATATCCTGCGATCTTCTTCTTCGTAAAGCTAGAGAAAGTAGATAACCAGCAGTTACAGAACGGGAAGAGTGTTGTAGAAAATGTATCTAAAATTTTCCTGCAGTAATTTTGAGATTAATAATATTATTTGTAAATGGAAAGCTTTTTTTTTATCAATTCTCGTATAATTCTAATATCGAATCTACGCTCAAACTTTATCACCGTTTTGGAATGTATAACCAGGAGTGAGCAAAGCGGGATATTATTAGTTAGTTTCTGGGGGCTCTAGTGGGCAAACAGCTGCAATTATTCTTAATGCATTTTCCAAATAAGTGTAACGTTTGACACGAGAACTTGTCTTAATGGCATGTGACATTCGATATTGTTAATGTTCTAGGGAATCTTGCAAAAACACTGAGTTGTTCCTCCGCCATCATCACTCCTAGGTTGATGAATCCTTTCCACTCCAAAGTCCAAAGCCATTCAGCTTTCTGCCTAAAGTCAAAGTCGTGCATCAATCATCCCAAAGTCGTCTTTAACTCACGTCAAATACGCAACTTTACAAATGGCCATTGTTTTCAAGTTCAATCACGACCTTGATTCCTCAATAAGCTCTTTTGATAGTGTTGTCAGAAGAAGAATATAAACAACACACTACCCCAAGGGCTTTGTTTGTTTGCCAAGGTGGACATGGAGACATGAACTTCAAATATAGAACTCCTCTAATCCTTTTAGTTGGTTCAAACTTCCCTCAAAAGGATCTTTCAGTTCTCAAAAAAAGTACTGATATACAGTTTTGAACAAGTACAGAAGAATTGTATTTTGCGCAGAAATACTAATGTGTTTTGTGATGCAGTGGACAATGGTATAATTGGAGTGGTAAGGAAGTCATGAAATTGTTGGTTGTTAGTGGAACTTATTGGACCATAGATAACCTATTAACGTAGGAGCTCTCACTCTCACCCTCGAGCAAAAGCATGAGTTGATTGCAGATGTCTTTATGGGTGAGGGCCAGCGACAGTTGGACTGGGTTGAGATTGAAAATAGCAACCCGAACTTCACTGCGCTGCGGGTGAAGTGTCAAATTAATAATATATTCCAAAACTGGTGACCAAAGGTTAGAAGGAGTAAAGGGCTTGATTCTGAAGTTAAAGGGCATTACCAACGCTACCTGAACTGAATCTATCTCATCCAAGTCTCCAAGTGTCTGATCTGAACCCCACCACCACGAAACAAGTGGGAGTCTTTTTCCAAGCATTGGTTGTGGTGGATAAATATAAACATTTATTAAAGTTTAGTTGAATGAGAAAACCTTTGGGTGACTTGTGTTTTAAACATTCATTCTAAAGGTTGTGATGTGTGATGCAGAGTGATTGGATGATTGCGAGGTGCTGAGAGGACCCAAAGCAAAGGAAGGCTGTCGGCATGAAGTAGCACAGAAAATGCTGGAGAGAGCGATTCTTCAACAACGAATCTTAACCGACTTCTTTCTTTTTTTAAAGCTTTTCCCCGTTTCACAAGGGGTTGTTGAAACCAAATTATTAACTTTGATTTTTATTCGCAAAAACTTCAATGTTTTAATTTGCTTCAGGGAACACTTTGTTGAAGCAGCAGAACAAAGTTGCTTGTAAGTTTGTAATTATATATTGCAAATCAAAAGGAAAGGTCCTACCTACTCTACTCCTATTATCAAATCCTGACGTCAACATTACAAAAGCCTTCTTACCTCTATTCAACAACCTTTTCTTTAATGCACAGGAGATTATTATTCTTCATTTCAGCCTCTCTTTAGGTTTCTAATCAATTTATAAATAATTAATAATATTTTTATCAATTAAATTCATCAATACTTTTCCATAAACAAATGAAACACAACATTTTTTTTTGTCTAATATATCAAAATTGTTAAGAATGCACGAACAAAATCAAGGAAAGCACCAGAAAATGCATTTTGTTTTTGCATTATTATGTTAAACATATGAATACCTCAGTTGAATATTTTTATTCAATTTTTTTTAATATGCTAATACATTCCTCAATTTTTGTGTTTACTAACTTGTTGAATGTTGGAAAAAATTACTTAGAATTCTGATCCCTCTAATTTATTTATCTTATTTTCTCTTTTCCCATCCATCTATTTGTTTTCATCTTCTATCAAGTATCCAACAAGATTTATGAGTTACTCTCGTGTTAAAATTAGCTCAACCATTAACCCTACGTTTTAAATTTTCAGTGAAATAATTATTAGAACTTGTTGATGTCGTGGTCTTATTAAATGTCTTAACTTGTATCGAGTTAATTTCATTTTATTTACGTTTTTTTGTGTGGCCGATGAATGAATATGAAGAATACCGTATTAAATTTTGGTAGTTTGATGGAGATTGTTAGATATTGTTTAGATATTATTTAATATTGTTAAGATATTGTTAGATATTAACCATAATATCAAACAATATCTTCTGTTTATTCTGTTACTTTCAGTTACTCTTTTAGTTGTATCTCTCTACTATAAATAGACTACCCTATGTGTGATTTATACACAAGGGAGATTAATCCCAAACTCTATTTCTTCTATATTCAACATGGTATCTAGAGCTTAAGGTTATTTTGAATTTTTTTTCCGCCTTAGACCACTATTGAAGTCGCCACCACCGCCGCTATCGTTGTCGGTTATTTGGTAGTGTGAAAGTGCATGTCTAGGAAAGTTCGACAAGGAAAGACTTGGTATTTAAGCGTGTCCATTAGTGACCCACCTCTCTTTCCGGGAACTTACCCGGTGTACTTGGTTCACGCCGCTGTCACTATCGCCTTCGCCCTTTATGAGTTCTTCCGCTCCTTTTAGTACTTCCAATTTTGTCAGATCGCATCCGATCCTTCCATCTACACTAACTATGTTAATGTGCACTTATCCATTGACAAGTTAACCGGCCCTAATTATGCCACATGGTCATCGGACGTCGATTATGGCTTAAGAGTCGAAGTATCTTGATCATCTTGCCCCGAAAGCACCTACTCTCACTCCTGGTGAGGAAGACCGTTGGGACACCATTGATGCTCAATTATGCGTGGTTCTCAAGGGTACCCTTGATCCTTCGTTAAAACAAATTTTTCGTTCCTACGAAACATGTGCAAAAATCCGGGAACATGCCAAGTTATTATACACCAATGATACTCAACGTCTCTATGATGTCCGTTCTAAATTTGTAGATGTTATTTCCTCTAAACATCAAGATTCTATGACTCGATTATATGGGCAAAATTCATGCTCTTTTTCATGAGTTCAATGAGTTATTGCCTCCTTCCCCGAACCACGCCACCGAGATAGGACAACGATCAAAGTTCTTCATGCTAGGGGCATTACACTGGACTTGCTGATCAATATTCACATATTCGTGATCAGATTTTGGGTTCTCCGGTTGTCCCCACCTTGACATCGACTCGCTCCACTCTTTTGCGTATACCAACAGAAACTCAACCCCGACACACCGCTTACGTTAATGATTCTTCCGCATTGGTATCTCACCGTGATGATCGAACTCGCCCTCGCAAACAGGGAAAAGGACGTCCTAAGTGTGAACATTGTGGCAAGCTAGGTCACAAGATTGACCAGTGTTATGCATTACATGAGTGTGAACATTGTGGCAAACTAGGTCACAAGATTGACAAGTGTTATGCATTACATGGTCGTCCTACTCGATCTACTGCAGTTGCTCGGATCGATTTTTTCCCACCTTTATCTGCTAAGGATCCTCCTTCTTCTATTTCATCGAGACACACCTGCTATGTTCAACAAATTTCTCAAATGGTATAAGGATCAACAGTCTTCTAGTTCTACCTGTGTCATGCCGCACACACAGGTACATCTTTTGTTGGTCCGACCCAATCTTCTTCCGGTCCTTGGGTTTTTGATTCAGGAGCCACTGATCATATTACTGGTAACAAATCTTTGTTCTCCTCTTTATCCTCTCCTGATCCTTTACCTTTTGTTACACTAGTCGATGGCTCTAGAGTATCATCTCATGGTGTTGGAACCGTTAAACTTTTCCCTTCTTTAACCATTGATAATGTTCTTTATGTCCCTGGGTCTCCTTTTAACCTTGTTATCCATCGATCGTCTAACTCGTTCTCTTGATTGTGTTGTTTCTTTTACCAACAATTCGTGTGTTTACAGGACCGGAGTTCGAAACAGGTGATTGGCACGGGATGTGAGTCTCATGGTCTTTATCATCTTCGTCCCTTTACACATGTTGGTGCGGTTATAGAGTCTCCCTCTCTTCTCCATGCTCGGTTAGGTCATCCAAGTCTTGCCAAGTTACAGACAACTTGTCCCTGCCTTATCTAAATTGTCTAGTTTGGCATGTGAGTCGTGTCAATTAGGCAAGCATATTCGTACTTCCTTTCCTCGTAGTGTCACACGTGGTGCTTCGTCCCCTTTTGTCGTGGTTCACTCGACATTTGGGGACCTAGCCGCGTTAAGTCTACTTTAGGTTTTCAATACTTTGTTACTTTCATTGATGATTATTCCGGATGTACTTGGTTATTTTTGATGAAAAATCGTTCTGAATTATTTCATATCTTTCAAACTTTTTTCAATGAAATTCAAACTCGGTTCGGTGTTTCTATTAGAGTTTTGCGCAGATGATAATGGTCGTGAATATCTTTCTCATTCTTTTAAACAATTCATGGCTTCTCATGGTATTTTGCATCAAACTTCTTGTGCTTATACACCTCAACAAAATGGTGTAGCTGAACGTAAAAATAGACATCTTATTGAAACAACTCGCACTCTTTTAATTCATGGAGAGGTTCCTCAGCATTTTTGGGGTGATGCTCTTCTTACTGCATGTTATCTTGTTAATCGCATGCCATCTTCGGTTCTAGATAATAAAATACCTCATTCCATTTTATTCCCTCATGAACCACTTCATCCCTTACCTCTAAAAGTTTTCGGGTCTACATGTTTTGTTCATAATTTTAGTTCTAGTCTTGACAAGCTTTCTCCTAGATCACATAAATGTGTTTTCTTAGGGTTTACAAGATCACAAAAAGGATACAAATGTTTTTCTCCTTCTCTTAACCGTTATTTTGTGTCTGCAGATGTCACCTTTGATGAGTTCTCTTTTTATTTTAAAAGTCAATCTTCACCTCTGTCTCCATCCAATATTGTCAACACTCCTAGTACATTTAATGTTCCTGTTGTTTGTGACCCTCTAATTGTGCCTTCTTCACCATTAGATTCTACTCCATGATCAACTTCTTCTTCACTACCTCTTCAGGTTTATAGTTGCTCGAAACCAATCACAACCACCACCATGTGACTCTACTCAAGTGCCAACTACTTTGTCTCCTCCGAATGTGACACCTGAGTCTGACCTTCCCATTGCCCTCCGAAAAGGTATCCGTTCTACACGTAATCCCTCTCCTCATTATATTGGTTTGAGTTATCATCGACTGTCATTACCTTTTTATACATGTCTTTCCTCTCTTTCTTCTGTGACCATTCCAAAAACTGTCCGTGAAGCTTTAGCCCATCCTGGTTGGCGTCAGGCCATGTTAGATGAACTAAGTGTTCTTCATAATAGTGGAACTTGAGATTTGGTCTCGTTACCGTCTGGGAAATCTGTTGTTGGTTGCAGGTGGGTGTTTGCTATCAAAGTTGGACCTGATGGTACTATTGATCGCCTCAAAGCACGTCTTGTGGCCAAAGGTTATACTCAAATTTTTGGTTTGGATTATGGAGATATCTTTTCCCCTGTGGCAAAGATGACTTCTGTTCGTTTATTTATCGCCATGGCCGCTCTTCAACAATGGCCTCTTTATCAACTAGATGTTAAAAATGCTTTCCTCAATGGTGATTTGCAAGAAGAAATCTATATGGAGCAACCTCCTGGGTTTGTTGCTCAGGGGGAGTCTTCTGGGATGGTATGTCGTCTTCGCAAATCCCTATATGGCCTAAAACAGTCTCCTAGGGCCTGGTTTGGAAAGTTTAGCAAGGTTGTTCAACAATTTGGTATGACTCGGTGTGAAGCAGATCACTCTATCTTTTATCGACACTCAAGTGCTTGGATGTGTTTACTTGATAGTATATGTTGATGACATCGTTCTTACAGGTAGTGACAACCATGGCATCTCTCGGTTGAAACAACATCTCTGTCACCATTTTCGAGACCAAAGATCTTGGCAAACTTAGATATTTCTTGGGTATTGAGGTGGCACAGTCCAATGATGGTATTGTTATATCTCGGAGGAAGTATGCCATGGATATTTTAGAGGAAACTGGGTTGATGAATTCAAAGTCTCGTTGATACGCCCATGGATCCCAATACTAAACTTTTACCAAACCAGGGGAGCTTTTACCCGATCCCGAACAGTATAGAAGATTGGTTGGAAAATTGAATTATCTTACGAGTTACTCGTCCCGACATTTCCTTTGCGATCAGTGTGGTAAGCCAATTTCTTAATTCCTCATGTGAAGATCATTGGAATGCAATCATTCGTATCTTAAAGTATATTAAAAGATCTCCTGGAAAAGGATTGTTATATGATTCTAATAACCATACAAGAGTTGTTTGCTACTCGAGATGCTTGATTAGGCAGGATCTCCTTCGATAGAAGATCTACATCTGGATATTGTGTCTCCATTGGCGGTAGCTTGGTCTCATGGAAAAGTAAGAAACAAAGTGTTGTGGCAAGATCTAGTGCGAAGCGAGAATATAGAGCTATGGCATCAGCTGCTTGTGAACTTGTTTGGCTCAAGCAATTGCTTAGAGAGTTACAATTTGGAGATGTCACTCAAATGTCACTTGTGTGTGACAATCGAGTCGCTTCTTCATATTAGTTCTAATCTTGTCTTTCATGAGAGGACCAAACACATTGAGATTGATCTGTCATTTCATTCGAGAAAAGATTATGTCTGGAGACATCAAGACCGAGTTTGTTAACTCAAGTGATCAGTTAGCGAGATATTTTTACTAAATCTTTACGGGGTCCTAGAATTGATTATATTTGTAACAAGCTTGGCACATACGATTTGTATGCTCCAGCTTGAGGGGGAGTGTTAGATATTGTTTAGATATTATTTAATATTGTTAAGATATTGTTAGATATTAACCATAATATCAAACAATATCTTCTGTTTATTCTGTTACTTTCAGTTACTCTTTTAGTTGTATCTCTCTACTATAAATAGACTACCCTATGTGTGATTTATACACAAGGGAGATTAATCCCAAACTCTATTTCTTCTATATTCAACAGAGATGATGACCAAAAAAATGAAGAAGATGGATTTTTTTTAAAAATATATTTCACCCTTATATGTTTGTATTATATAAGGTTAGGGGTATAATGAACATTATATCATTAAAATAAATTATCTATATTAAATCAATCAAATTACATAAAATATATTTTTTCAGTCATATATATATATATATATATATATATATATATATATGAAGAGTCCAAAAAAAAGGTCTTTAAAGTGTTAAGGTTTATTTCGATAAATGCTTAGTTTTGAGTTTGTGTTGAGAATAGGTTGTATTGTCTACAACATAAATAATACTCTATGATATGCATTTGACCATTTATTTTCTTAATAAAACAAGTTAAGCAATAGTACCATATATATTTTTATCTTCTTTTACATTCCGTTGTGATTTAAATGATTTAATTTTTGTATTGTTTATTTATAAAAAGTAGATGTGTATAGAAAAAAGAGAGTTTACAATAATTTAATCAATTAAAAAATTGGCAACTGAGAGTGTGCTTATAAGCTCACATGTGGCAATTATGTTGCCATTGATGATGGCTATGGGGACCTTTTATCTCTCTTTTTTGAGAGGGTATTTATGTCGTCTAATCCTTTTCCACTCAAAGCAATTCAGTTTGCCAGAAATGGAAAGTTTTCAATTCACTTTCTAATTTAAACATAAACATTTCATTAAAAGAAATCTCTGTTTAAAAGATTCTTTACAATCTAATACGGTTACTATAACTTGTTTTCAAAATTATTGCACTATCTAAAAAAATATACAAAACTGTGTCGATCAAATTATTGTATATAAAAAATATTAAATGAAGCAAATGACTTAATAATTTAAGAGCATAAAATAAATGTAATTATTTGTTGATGTAATAAGTGAGAGAGAGCAATGGAAAAATACATTATGAGATGATTTAAAATGATTGAAAACAGGGTGAAGAATGATGCACAGTTAGTTGGGTGTTGTAATTAGTGATATAAGTGAGAGACAGAAATGATTGCTAATTGTCTCAGTCCCTCTCATTGATATATGCTTATGCAGTGCACGTATCTGCATTTGTGGGTTAAAGCAAAAGAGAAAGAAATACAATGATTAATGTAGGACGACAAACTCTTTATACCAGAATCTTCTTCTGTTCCAAGGCTTAATTATGTCACCCAATTTTTTCATCTTTCCTCAACTGTTAATTAACCGATGGTTTTATTGAAATTATGTCCCCTTCTAATAGCAAGACCACATTCACACATTGATTCTTCACTCAGAAAGAAGACCACCGTTGTGACCTGTGCTTCACGAAGGGGACCCACTCAAATGCCCATAAGCTCATCATGCTACTTTAATCTCAATTACTCATCATTCATTAGTTTTTCTCTCGTTTAGAAAAATGCAATCATTTTTTGGGTTGGGCCTTGAAGATTGACCTAGGCGTTTTCATATGTAATTTCTGACTGCACCTTCGTAATTTTTTCTTGCAATTAAATTAAATTTTATTTTACCCATTATGTTTCGGGAATTAGGAATATAGTTCTAGAATTTTTATTTTTCAAAAATATCTTCTATAAAATTTTGTCCTGAAACATGTTTTAAAAAGTAAATTCTGTAATATATTTTTAGAATTAATTTCTAAAAATGCATTTTAAATTGGTAAGTCCGGAATATACTTTAGGATGGTATATTTATAAAGTTTATTTCGGATACATCAATCTAAAATATATTTTTAAAAAATTAATTCTGAAAATATATTCTACAACCTATTTTTTTTAATACATTTATAGGTTGACTTTTCTTAAAATGTATTCTGGAATAAGTATTTTGGGATGTGTTTTCAGAAAAATCAATTTGAAAATACATTGTAAATTTGTTGTTCCAAAACTTAACATGATTTTTACAAAACTTTTTTGAATTGAGCCATCTGAATTTTGTTAAGAATTCAAATGTAAGTTTGAAGTCCCACATTGAATAAAAATAAAAAAGTTGAATAACTTAGTGAAAAATATTCATAACCTAATGAACTCAATTAAGTATAGTAAGTGAAATATCACTCAATAAAAAGTATTCATAACAAAACTTTCAAACATATGAGTCCCATTAACTTGAACCGCGTTACAAGTGAAAGAAACCAAATTTTTACCAAGTATTTAAAATAAAAAATATTTTAATTATTTTATTTTACTTAAAGATATGGAGATACATAAAGAAATTATATTTCATTTGAGCTAGTGAGGTCCATCTCTCTGGTTTGGGCCCAAATCCAATGAATGACAAACAACATAACAATAAATAAAATTGGACACGTGTCAAAGAGAGAGTGGAACCACGAATGTTTGTTTGAAACCACACATAGAACTGTTGAAGTTTCCCTCCAAGACTTGGGGAGTCGAGACGTACGCAGAACACGATGGCTTCCAAATTAGCGTCGCCGATGAAGGTTCAGGCAGGTCGGGTTCGGACCTTGAAGGAAGGTTCACGCGGTGAAGCGGGTTCGGGTCCCGTTGTGTACTGGATGTTCAGAGATCAACGGGTGAGAGATAACTGGGCTTTGATCCACGCCGTTGCCGAGGCCAATAAAGCCAACGTTCCCGTTGCCGTTGTTTTCAATCTCTTCCACACCTTTCTCGGCGCCAAATCCCGTCATTTAGGTTTCATGCTCAGAGGCTTGCGCCAATTGTGCTACCGTATGCAAAATACTCTTCAAATTCCCTTTTTCTTGTTCCAGGTAACTTGCAGTTTTTTTCACGTTTTCGCTTTTGTTTGGGTTTTTATAGAATATTTAGGTCTTGATAAACTTTTTAACTCTCAAATGATACTTAAATTTGAAAATTAGTTTATTTGTACAAGTTGTTTAGCTACATTCCACTTGAAACAACCATGCACGAGTTGAGTAGAATCACCGTAGAGAACACAATTTTCCTCCGCTTTATTGCATATCCAGACTCGAATTCAAGATTAATGATTAAGTTAAAATAATTTGACATTTGATCGCCACAATCAGTGATAGTCTCTATCTGTTGAAGCTAATTTATAGAAACAATTTTGCATAATTTCTTCAAAAGCGATGTTAACTTGCACACAAACTAAATCATTTCACCACTTGTAAGCTTTTGTTGAGTGAGACCCTTGCCTAAACAAGGTCTTTACGCTTCTAAGATGTTGTTTCTACTTTCGATTATATTGTAGGGAGAGGCGGAGGAGACCGTGCCACAGTTTGTTAGAGAATGTGGAGCTTCACTTTTGGTAACGGATTTCTCACCATTGCGGGAAGTTCGAAGGTGTAAAGAAGAGATTTGCAAGATGGTAAGCGATTCGGTTACGGTGCATGAAGTGGATGCTCACAACGTTGTGCCACTTTGGGTTGCCTCTGATAAATTAGAGTACAGTGCTAAGACAATCAGGACAAAGATAAACAAAAGGCTTCCTGACTATCTCATTGATTTCCCCGACGTTGAAGTTGAGCTACCAACTAGGAAGTGGGTCCTTCCCGAGAACCATTCCGTTGAGTGGGATGATCTCATCGCTGATGTGTTAAGGTTAGTGTTGTGTGCACTTAAGCAATTCATGTGGATATGCTGACCCTGACTTGATGAATGTTTTTGTCAAATTACTAGGAGAGGAGCTGAGGTTCCTGAAGTTGATTGGTGTGAGCCGGGAGAAATCGCGGCAAGGGAAGTATTGATGGGAAGTGAAAATGGATTCTTGACTAAAAGGTTGAAAGGTTATTCCCTAGATCGCAACAATCCGTGCAACCCCAATGCACTTTCTGGTTTATCTCCCTATTTGCATTTTGGACAGATATCTGCTCAGCGTTGTGCTTTAGAAGCACGTAAGCGGCGAAATTCACATCCTCAAGTTTGTTTACTTGCCCTTGACTTGATTCTTTCTGTTTCTTGGTGTTCTTTTCTTCCCCAAAATGGTGATAATAGATAACATGTACCTAGGTTTAGTATAACTTCATGTTCTTGACTTGTGATCTACAGGCAATCGATGCTTTCTTGGAGGAGTTGATTGTGAGGAGAGAGCTTGCTGATAACTACTGCTTCTACGAGCCCCATTATGATTCAATAAAAGGAGCATGGGGGTGGGCTCAGAACACCTTAATCGTACATGCCACTGATAAGCGTGAATATGTTTACACGTCAGTCACTTTGGTTTGTTTCCATCTGTGTTGTTTTTGTTTACTCGCAAGCTGAAGTAGTTTTTGGATTTTCGCAGGAGGGAGCAATTGGAGAAGGCACAGACTGCTGATCCTGTAAGCCAATGTTTCATGGTTAATAATTATATTCTCAACTGAACAACCTGAAAGCTTCAAAGATTCTCGCACTTTCTTTCACATAATAATTTACCACTTCTCAGGTTCTAAGTTTTTCAATGCCTCTATATTAATATTTGATGCGTTGGTACGATTCAGCTCTTTCTAAATCATTGTTTTTATGTTGTCATTTGCCTAAATAAGTACTATATTCAATATTTTGTTTTCTTGCAAACATCAGCTCTGGAATGCGTCTCAGCTGGAGATGGTTCACAACGGGAAAATGCATGGTTTTATGCGGTATGTAGCCTCTCAATGAATTCTTGTCTCCTTTTTGTTGCTTTTTAAAGTATCTTATGTTACACATTCTACAACGGGAAAATGCGTGGTTTTATGCGGTATGCAGCCTCGTAATGAATTATTATCTCCTTTTTGTTGCTTTTCAAAGTATCTTATGTTACACATTCTCATTCTAAGTTTATTATGCATGTAATCGTGCAAAGGAGAGAATCCATCAACTCTTCTCCTTTCGTTTTTCTTTTTTTCCCTTTTGCAGGTTTTCTTTTATAGGTTCTCATTGATTGATAAGCCTGCATTAGGGAGAGAGGAAACATGTGAGTGGTGCATACTAAAGAGTGATCTCAATATATAAAAAGTAGGAATTTAAATAAGTAAGTCTGATCACCATTATTTGAAAGCTAATTATAGACCGAAAAGGAAAACAGAACTCAAAATGTGTCATGAAGTTGAAGAACTGATGTCATACCACTCTCCTAGCTTGTGTGTGAAGCATGTGTGGAGGTAGAGAAATAGTATGAAGGATTTCTTACATTAGAAGAGGCTACAACATATGCTCTGATTATAGATCTAAGAAACATTTGATTTTAGTCTTCTCCTGGAATTGTATTTCATTGATGGAATATTATATTATGTATTTCGTATCATACAGTAAAATATCTTATCAGAGAATCAACATATCTCTTGCAGTATAACCCTAGCTTCCAAGAGGAGCCTTATTTTGTTTCCTTAATCATAAAATTTCATGTACAGAATGTATTGGGCAAAGAAGATACTTGAGTGGACGCGAGGACCTGAAGAAGCCCTTGAGATATCTATATATTTAAACGACAAGGTAATATGCAAAACTTTGGTCACCGTATGTTATTTCATGAAATTAAGGTTATTACAATTTGTAAAAATGACCGCAGTTTTGACTGACTGCAGTATGAATTAGATGGGAGAGATCCAAATGGTTATGTTGGTTGCATGTGGTCAATATGCGGGGTTCATGATCAGGTTCGATTGCCTTGTTCTCATTCGTTACAGTTTAATTTGAATGTCGAGGAAGGGTGGTTTTGGTAAATTGTGTTTGTTTCCTGGAGGCTGTTACTTTTTCAGCATGAGTGATTTTGATCTTTCCTTTTCATTTTTCCGAAAATCGAATGAACTGCTGAATTAGGTGTTTTCTTGATCATATGAAAACCTAGCAGAGTAGTTAAATTTTATTCTAGAATTCTCAGTTCTGGCATTTACAATTTTTTGATGCATTTCAGGGGTGGAAAGAGCGGCCCATTTTTGGGAAAATTCGATACATGAACTATGCAGGCTGCAAAAGAAAATTTGACGTCGATAAATACATTGCATATGTCGATAAATTAGTTCGTGATCTTAAAAAGAGAAAGGCTGGAAACATGCTATCTCAAAAGGAAAAAGTTCTTCGCAATTGTGATCCTAAAGATTGAAATAGCATACTAGGCTTATTATGTATTTAGCTAGGAGGAATGTTTTCACTACGCTCTTTAAGATACTTTTTCTAACACTATTATTTGCCGAAAATTTGATGAAAAGTGTAAAATTAGAAGACAGTTCATCAAATAATATACAAAATTTCATGACTTTCATTAAACTTTGGTCAATAATAGTGTATAGAAAAGTATGTTATAAGCATTTTGCATCTAAGTAAAGTTGTCATTGTTTGGCTGATGATATTTGAAGCAGAAACAGTCTTCTAATATCCCTGGAGTTTTGAATACGACCTTGCTGTTCATCGATGCACATCCTTGTGGTTGGGTAATGAAACTGAAACTGCTTGTTTTCCAGCACGAACAAGTTGGTAACATTTTTAGAGTTGAAAGGAAACCGTTAGAAGCAATCAAACTTGTGAACTTTTTAGCTAGTTTCTTTCATTGAAGCCAGTGATCTATAAAATTATTTTCGTCTTATTTTTAATTCAATTTTTTGGCACGTCATTGCTCATGTTGTCGTTTCAGTTGGTAAAGGGGCATGGCAACAAGATCACACCGATTAAACGGTTGAAAGGTTTACCATTCTTCAGGCTACTGTATATATGCGTTGCTTAAAATAATACTTATTTGACATTTTTTATGGCAAAGGTCGCCGAACTAATGCAGTTCTTCATTTTTTTATTCCTTTTTTTCAAAACAATACTGTTTTTCTTTTTCAACGTGACTTTCAAGAAAATATTTAATGTGAGAAAAAGCATAGACCATTAATTTAGTTTTTGAAATATTATCTTTAAATTTAGATATTTTTGATAGTGAAGTTCTTTAAGAAGTTCAAAGTAATGAAAATTCCTAAATTTAATCCTGGCGATGATATCTGCTATTAGCGTTGAGAGACTAATTTGAAAAATATTTCAATAATTGATGAAATATGTAGCATGATTTCTAATATTTTGGGAAATATTTGAATAATTTTCACTTGAAAAGAAGAATGATATATACGGATCAATATATATATATATATATATATAGATGTTCAATATAAGTGATTGAACACAAATTTAGCTCAAATTTTAAAAAAATTGTAATTCAATTAAATTATTTATCACTTCAATTAACCCTGACTTTATTCACTGGAAATTTTTATTATTATTTAAAACTTTAATTCATCTCACTCCAATGAAATCATTACTATTTTACATACATCAGGATCACTATTATTACCTTCTTCAATATTATCGTCTCCCCTCCACTATCTCCACAGCTTTTACGCATGGCAATCGTCACTTCGGAACCAATACTATAGTTGTTATTACCATAGTGCAGTATTGATGTTACAACTAATGTACTTGAAACGCTTTATGATCACCACTTCTTTAATTGTTTTCATTATTACCGTTCTCAATATTATCAGAGTCTGTAATGGGGCAGTGGTTGAAATTAAAGCATAAAATGCCTTAATTTGATGATGCGGATTTTCAATTAATTCCCGTAAAATTTAATCTGCACTTTTGCTTTCCAATGATTGATGTAAAAGTGCCTTTTTATCAGTAACACAAAGTGCCTATTTTCTAAAAATGAAAATAAAAAGCCATAATGGTGCCTATTTAAGATCTAGTTTTTCGAAATTGTGAATTAAGTATTATTTTGAAGAGCAGAAAAATAGAAACATCCTCCGTTAATGAAAAAGCAAAGAACATATTTTAACAAGTTTATGACTTGGTGAATTGCATATGATATATTCACGTGATATTAATGGTAGAAAGTATCATTATTAGTATTATTTTAGAATAGCGACAATATAATTTGAACCTAAAACTTTTTCCACCATCAAAATAATCCAGTGAATTGGAGTATTTATTATTTACAACAAAGTGCTCTCTAGCTCAACTAGTTTCCAGTCTAAATCAATCTGTCCACTGAAAACTGTTATTTGGTCAGCAACCAATGAAGGTATATCCATGTTAGTCTTTTAATATTGTAATAACATGATTTTTTTTACAGAATAAAACAGGATGGTTAAACTATATGATTACAACACAAATACAATTTACAAGTATGCAGAGGCTCATCTTCTAGTTCAAGTTCTTAAAATCATATCTGGATATCATCTAATGAAAGCTCGTGCGTCGTTATCATCTTTAATTTCTGCAGACGCGGAAAATTAGTATTGAAGAATGGTTATGGCAATTCCCGGTGAAGGAACATTTTACATTTTTGCATTAAAAATAGGTAAAACTTCAATACCGTAATAAATTGTGCAGGGTCATCAAGACTTGATGAGCCGAGAATAATCTCCCTCTTTAGCTTTTCGGTAAGCTTATGGCAAACCCTAAGCTGAGAATTCAAATTGAAATCGCATCAGACCAGAAAACCAGAGGGGAAAGGGGGCAATATTGAGTGGTACAATCTCATTTTTATATACAAATCAAACCTCAGATCTGGTTGCGCCACCGACAATGAATACAAAGATTCGTTGCCCCACCCTCCTGAAATCACTCGATGCCTGTCTAAGCACCGAATCGCTGTGTGCCATCAAGAAAAATATAAAATTTTACACGTAAGAAAGTTCCTTCATAATTGACAATTTCAACAGAGACGGGTTTTCCCAACATATTATCTGTAATAATAGCAAGCTTAAACAAGTCTACACAACTCCGAAGTGAGGGAGGATAATAAGCAACCAGATAGTCAAAGGGAAGAAAAGTGTTAAAGGAAAAATAAATAAAGAAAATAAACTAAAATCAGAAGAAGTTAGATTACTGGGTACTGATCAGGAAAGAAAATTAAAACCTTGAATATCCATCTTCAGAACCTCGCGGTCGAGCCCAACTTGGTGTTCGTCTTGATCTCATAGAATGAGGACTTTGGTTTAAAGGCCAAGAAAAGGGTGAGCCGTGGTAAGATGGACTTGGATCATTCAAACATGGATAATCTTCCTTTGACAATTCATTTTTGGCGAGTTTTTCAATGAGTTCCTGAATAAACATCCAGTCATCATATACGAGGATCATCATAGATTCTTAAAAATTAAACATTGGTCAGCATATGGAAAATCGAGTTTACGTTATTTTTCTTTATATTGCACAATCACAATGATATGAAGAAAGCATAGTAAATAGCTGTTTGCTTATTTCACATATTTACAGCGATAATTATATTTGGAATCTAAAAACAACATTATGGGATAAAGCATATTCTCGTTGAAATGGTTAACACTCTAGTTTTATTTCAAGGCTGTCCTCTCGTGAAACTGTCATCAGTGAATGAATGCATATTATCTGTGAGTAGATCGGTTAGATCGTATTAGCTAAATTTGTACCTCTATTATTGGATAAAAGCGTGATAGCTGCCATTTCTCTTCTTCACCGGGACGCTCCTTCCTTGCAGCACGCTTCTTCTGACAACTTAAAAAAACACTTTCATACAAAACGTAACGTTGAAAAATCACATTTTGTTTTTCAAGAAATTACTACCATTACCTTACGGATATCAAACTTAAGACCAAAAGCAGAGGTCGAATTTTTTTTGGTAACTGGTTGTCCCCCAAGCATTCTCAAATTATGCACAACACTCATATCCTCTTCCGTCAGTTTTGCTAGCTGAGAAGCATATGAAAGGTAAAAAATGGATAACGACATTGGAGTTGATAGGAATGATCTATTTAATAGCATATCTCTAAAATAGAAAATGAAGAGCAAGGGGGAATTAAGTTGGTAGCCAGTAAGGAAGAAACCACACCTTCATCAAATTCAGACCCTTTTCTCCCTCAAATTTCTCAGGATAAACACAGGCAAGAATCATTAACAGGCGCAACTTATTTTCATGGGTTATATCCTGCACAGATGTATCATTCATATAAAATTTAAAAGATGAAACAGTGCAAAAGGCATCTCTAATCACACAACTCGTCCAATACTAAAAAGCTTTCTCATTTTGAAATAAGGATGTGATTAGGTATAGGAACATAATTTATTTTCCCTCAAGGAATTTCTTACTTCTTTCGTGGTAAAAAATTTGATCACATCTTTTGTTGTTGCATCTCCGAAAACAAGATCTTGCTCCAGCTGGCCAAGTTCCCGTAGTCCCGACTCCCTAATGATTCTATTAATCTTTCCTGCAATCTGGACCAAAAAGCACATTGTTTACATCTATACAGAAATGCGCACCCAGATCATAATCAGATTCACTGTCTTATTTAACGGTTAAATTATTCTCCAAGTCCCTATTTTCTTGAGGGTTTAACAGCCCCCGTATCCACTAAAACCGTAAATAAGTTCTAATATATGTTTTTAAATCAACTGGTTCCCAGTAAGCCATATGAAACAAATAATATACTGGATTTAGGGACCCTGTTTTCCCTTTTGAAACTACAGGGACTCATTTATAAGGTTAGTTTGAATAATCTTTTTAAATAGCAGCTACAGCAGAAGAAAATAAGGGAGATATAATTAACAAAATTTTTCTCCCAAGTCAATAAACCTATTCACCTCAACCTTTTGAGAAGTTTTCCTATATAACTTCTTCAAAAGTAAAGGTGCAAAAGTTAATTTCACTAGAGAAGTCCGATTCATTTTTTCTCCTATAAGTTTATCCAAAATTGATAGTAGATTTTGTGTGAGGACGTGAAATTAATTTAACCTTATTATATCCACTGACAAACAATTTACTTTTATCTTAATCAACTGCCAAAAACAAAAAAAGAATTAACTTTCAGAAATATCCGGCAAACTTAAGGGCCAAATTTCATGTATTCTATCGTCCATCAGCCAGAATCAGAATAGAAGCAATAATATTCCATAATTAAGCAGGGACGTTCTAACAAGGGGTAAACAAAGCTAAAATGATTACCCAATCAGGGAATTCAAAATCTGGCATTACCAGAGTACAATTAGATTTTTCTAGAGGACAAATGCTAACTGTAGAACTCCTCTTCTAGGAAGGTTCATAGTCAAAATAGCACTTTTATTTGTGAAAACCATATCAAATAATCATTAGAAGAAAAATAAGCTGTATAAGAATTGCATTACAAAAAAACTAACTTCTATATGGAGGGAGAGCTTGTCAACTTGTTCACTGTATTGTGGAAGTGCTTGGACCATCTTTTGTATATCCCTAGTTGACATATCACCGCTACCTCTATACATACAACACAGTTAAATAATTTAAATTTGCTACAATGAAAACTAGAAAAATAGATAAACACTTCTACCAAACAGCAAATCTAGCCCTGGCTAACTTAAAAGGTCTAATTTTCTCATCAACAAAACAAATATTACTTTGATTTCCAATAAAGGACGTAAACATTTTACACAACAACACGGCTTTTAAATGATTAAATAGAAAACAGGGTGTTTAAAATAATACATGGCATCCTTGCAATCCTTGAAGAATAATTCCTAGTGGTTGATAAAATTATTTAGAATATAAAATTACCCCCCAAAATAAGTGTTCAAAATTTTAACTATCTTCCCCAAAAGCTAAAGGTCCAACTGGATGATTAAGTAGGAGGACAAAGGTCAACTTGAACATCTGTTATCATGCTCAAGGAGCCCAATGCTACATTTAAGCCAGGCAGCCAAAGAAGTTCAAACTGATTAAAATACACTATGTAGGACATTTATTATTTTGACATAATATGCAACTAAGCTATTTGTGAAAGTTCAGGAGGTAAGTGGAGGTAAGAATAAGACTAAATTAAAAAATTTGATTAAAAAATAAGGTAGTAAGTGTCAATTTTCATATCAGTGTGGAATAAATTTTAGTCAAACCATACAGTCATTTGAAAAAAAATCTATAAATTAATAAATTAGGCAAATATTTAATTTTTTATGATAACTAAACCATTATATTCAGCATCAATGTCCTCTTATGTAACACTGCCGTTGCTGACAAATAAGCAGATGATTATCCCTCACCGTGAAACATGTTGTATTTGTGCAGCTTTGTTCTTTGAAACGAAGTTGGTCAACTTCTCATGCAGCCTTTCACTAGCCTGGCATGGTCATCAATATCAAAATCTATTCATGTTTGCTTAAATCTAGTATAGTGAAGGCATAAAAGCAAGACGTACATCTGCAATATGAGCATGGCGAAGTTCAAGCCATACAGGATCGTGTTCTTCCAAAAGAACATCTTTTCTCTCTGGTGGACCACCAGATTTGCCAGGAACCTTAAAAATACAGCAGACTTGTGTTTATGCACCAAAGAGTTAACACAGAAAATTCAGAATGAGATGAGAAGTGGAAATTGTGGAAGTTACTTCGTGAACATATTTATTTCCCTCCATATTCAGCAAATCATGACACATGGCATCATAGGTCCATTCATGTATCACGGGAGCAATCTACAAAATCAGAATATATCCTCATCATAACCAAGTGACTGTCTGTCAAAAAAATATTTTAAGTTGATGACCAAAAAATGGAGCTAAGATACCGGATCAATAGATCTGTCAAGAATGAGCAATTCACAGGTCTCTGTCTGAGGAAAATTAGGTATACATTTTTTATATTTCATAAGACTGTCCCAGACTCCAGCAGCAAGCTTTGTAGGTATAAGATCACAGAAAGTTGTCATCGTGGTTGCATCTAGGGACTTGGCAGCACGAAAGCGAACTGAAGGAAATTCCTTAAAAAATATTTACATGCTTCAGAATTCTCAATCACATTTGAACAAATATAGAACAATGACAACAATTTTTGTATCCCTGTCAAAGATCACTTTTCACATACTCTTAAGGAAGCAAAAACTGTGGCAATTCGTTTTGCCATCACATTCAAACATGTAACACCTCTATGAGTATTCTCTTCATCCCCAAATAGCTCCTCTAATGCCCTCTCATTATTTGTGATGAAACCCTGCATTAACATGACAAAAAAAATACCCCAAAAATGAAGGCATCCATTATTGGAATGATAATGGCATTAGAAACTAATAAAGAACTCCTAACAAGCACAATTCAAAATTGATTTTCGAAATGGAAAGATCTCAACAACCCAATTCGTGAATTCTGAGTTCCTAAATTATGTTGAAGATACATATGAATGATCAAAATTGCCCGTTTGCAAAGATGGACTTCCTAATCCACATATTCTGGTAGTTAACTTTTCACTTCTCGGATAGTACTTAAATTCCACCTCTGCAAATTCAGTACAGATTGCTTGCTAATTCTATTCAGTCTTTTCAAGCACAGCCTTTGTTTACATTCGGGGAGGATTTTCTTCTACAATTAATAGATTCTAATTAACTTAACAAGCAGGAAATTTTGATTCCTCACTTGAAACTCATTCATTGCTATGTGGAACTGGACCAAAACAAGGAACAGTTCTACATGTCATAAGTTGAGTTTTATTAACGGCCTATGTGGATAACACTATGACATTCAGCATGGTTAAAAAAAAACAAAGTTTTTTTAAGAATATGATTATATATGGAAAATGAAATAAATTAAAGTAGAAGTGGGCAGCTACATACCTGGCTGTCTATAGGAAAATACTCCAAATTCATCTGCATATGCAATCCAAATGAGGGGGAAAAGCACAAAAGAAATGTCAATTGCGCACAATTATGTATTCAAGCATAATACAGCTTTGAAACAAAAAGTTTTCACCTCTCTCAATGCACCTATTCGAGGCAACACCTTTGTATCTTTCTTAATATCCATAACTAATTCTTTGGAAATACTTGAACTGAAGAAAATAAATGCTCTACAAGATCACAGAAAAAGACTTCAAAACAAATAAGTTGTTGAAACCATAATGAAGTGCAGACAAGGGAGATATTATAATGACCATTACGTACTTCTTGTACAAGGGTGTCCTTCCAGACATGTCTGATAAACACATAATTACACTGTAAATAAAAATCGAGGGAAAATCACTAAATATGAACCATCTCAAAAAGGAATGATAACTAAATTCCACATCAAAGCTAAATGAAAATGTTCCACAGTCAAAAGTGCAGCATATTAATTATTCAACAATTCAAATTATAAATGAATAATTAGACAAAGTAATGCATCATCATGTAACTTGTCCAGTGCAAAAAGTAATATAAACAATACAGGAATAGTTGACATCTTTGAGTGTAAACATAAGGATGAATTAAATAAACAGTTTAATAAAAATAATACAAATTGGTAAAGAATTTAAGAGGTCAAATAAAGTTAGAAGAAAAACAACAAATTCTAGCTTTCAAAATTAAAACTCAACAGAATTATATTCCTCAAAATGTTTAGTAAGTTACATTTTTATCATAACATTATTAAATATTTACATACTTCACAACAGATTGCACAACAAAACGACCAAAAACAAAGAGCTGATATATTACTTCTCTCTGGTTGGCTGGATGAAATATATAGCATCCATGGAGGGCAATGGCTGCCTTCGCTTGTATATGTCTTCCACCACTACAAAAAGAGAAGCAAAAGTTCACAACATACAACAAAGGATTTAAAAATTGAGACCTAATGGATGAGGATCCCACCCTAATGTAAATAACCATACCTTATAAAGGTGTTCACAAATCAATGCAATCCTGTTCTACTTTGTTATAGTGAATGAGCAAACAAGGATAAGACATCTTTAGAAAGTCCTCACAACAAGTCAAAAGCAAACATGGTAATTGGCGAATTAAAAATGTTTGTAGAAATTTTGTGTAGTAGGTTTTTTTTAAGTAATCTTTATACAAAATTATCTACATCTGTTTCTCCTATAAAAGATAAAACAGCCTCATCTGCTACTACACTGACTTAGAGGGGCTATTTGCACAACTAGAACCTATGAAGACCAGGTCACAATGCAGCATCCTTATATTCTGCAAAGGCTCACTCTTTATGCAAGAAAAAAAAAAAAAAACTAATTGTACAAAACCCACAACAGTTGTTAGTTTCCTTCTCTCACTGTATAGACTATTAAATTATTAATAATTAAGAAAATTATTTATTTCAATGGAACAATTAGTACATACTAAAACTTAGGACATAGCAAGGACATGCAAATAAACTTAATCATTTCAATTTTAATCCATGTGAATAAACAATTGCAGTTTCAATTCAGTTTCAAAACAAAGGAAACCAGCATCAAAATCTTGATGATAATTATCGAAGAGAAAGGTAGGTCCTAAATATACTTATATAGTCTTTTTGGAAGAGGTAATAAGAGGATGCGGATGGGAATAATTACCCCAAATTGGAAATTTGATGTTACATCATGGAACATTGAAATAAGAGAAAAATATCGGAAAAACAATTCAATGGTTCTTAGTATAAAGAAAAATGATTGCTTACATGAAACACCTTCATCGGTGATATCAGTCATCTTGCATGAGTGAGACATTATCTTTACAGTAAGTTTGTCCATTATTAGTACCTGCAGGCAAGTAACCCATGAACCAGTATGAGATAGTAATCGATAAATTCAACTCTTACCTTGCACTTCTTAGTTTCTTAATTTACCTCCAATGCTTCATTCAGAAGTAAAATATGTTTATACTTGCCTAAATCTATGCCAGTTGCCAACAGGGTAACATGCATCTGTATCTACTGTATGGAAGCTAGCCCATGAAGTATAATACATACTAGTATAGATATCTAGAGAGAACTGATGAAATACTACACATTATGATCTCCGTTCTAATGAATTAAACAAGCACTTTAGACACGTGAATTATATAATTGAGTGTAAACAACAAACTTTAATGAAATAATACAGAAGAGTGAGTCCTTCATTGCTTCTTGTATCCAGAGAAAAGATAAACGAATCAAGGAAGGATTCATTTAACTAAATAGCATCATATACCTTCCAAGTTGGTTTGGAATCCCCCGTTTTTGTTGACCTCAGCATTTCATGTAATAATCCTGTAAATAAGAGGGTAAACAGAAATTAAACAAGTTTATCTGATCATAACCAATTAAAAGTTTAAAAGGAACAAATGGAAAACCATAAAGGTTTCAATACCGACAAAAAGGTTAGGAAATATATCCAAAAATAAGCGATTCTATATTTCAAAACATAGCGACATTGAATTTGGTCATGATTTTAAATTCTAAAATATTAACTGTGGAGAAGTTCTCGTGAGTCATGACATGTACAGTAACAATTTGATCTGTCGAGTCTTTAAATAACTATGAAATGATTTGGAGTGATTTCATCCGTCATGCAACTTTCGCTCTTCTTTTTCTTTCTCTTTACGTGGACGTAAAACATAAGTGAAGAAAAAAAGTGAATTAATATAACCTATAGAACAAAGAGGGAGGGCACAGATGCATTTTAGTTGCGAATCTCCCCCCCTAACAGCTATGCTGAAACTCTCTTTCGTTATTTTGTAAATTAACATTATTTTATTATACAATAGTATTAGATTATTGAAATGTAGTTATCATGGAAATTGATATTCTGGTACTTAAATGATGAATTTAAGTTATTGAGCTTTTGATGTGAATGACCCATAATGAGTTGGGCTACTCACTGGTTGCTTGTTAATGTACGCTTGTCAGATAAAAGGTAGTTTCTCTCACACCTTTGGGAAGGAATTCTATCAATAATGCAAAGACAAAGATGAATTCATTCTTCACACCAGGTTCACGAATTCTACCTTAATTCTCTAGACAGATTATGATGGAACATGTTATGAAACAGTGTAGAGATCATACAATAACATATCATCCTGAAATAATCATAAGCAGAGTACCCATGGAAGAGGCTACGGAACCAAAATCATCCTGAAAACTCAATCACTCCATTCCAACCAAAAGCACCCAAAAACCACACTACAAAGTCCAAACTCAATATCCGAAACCATAAGCTAGTTGCCCTAACGCGCTTATCATGTAGCTGATAAAAGGTCGAGCAGTAGAAACCATGCGCAGAAGATAATAACAATAAACTTGCACAGTAAGAATTTGTTGAGAATAGTAATGAAATGCCACAAGTCGAAAAGCGTGAAGAATGATTGATGAGTAACGTAACAGAAAAAAATATGAGAAAAAAAGGGGGCTTACGCTCGCGGCTTATTAGTTTGAAACTTTTGCAATCGCCGAAATAAGAGGAGGAATCGGAATCGGACATAGACATGTTTGCTTTGCTATGCCGTCCTCTCACGCTTGATTGATCGCTTCAGAGACGACGAGCACAGCCACGGATCGTTGATTGATCACGATGAAAAAGCGTACGCACCAACACCAACACGCTTCCACGAAGAACGAGCGAAAGAAAGGAAAGGATTTAGTTTAATTTGAATGTGAAAAGAGTTTAACACCCATGCACTATATTTAATTTTTTTAATTATTTTATATATATGGAAAAAAAAAAAAACGCATAAGTGACGATTCATAACGTGTTGGAGAATTGTCGAAAATCCAAAATTGAATTGAAGCTCCAAATGGCTAACGCCCGGGTTGGATAATATTTGGAGGCTTCCAGCGAGAGGCATGTGATTAGTATATTAATTAGAAAAATAATTATTGAAATCATGAATAATTTAAAGTTTGCAAAATATTTATATTAATATAATATGGCTTGTTTTATAATCAAATTATTTTATACTCATTCAAATCCTTCGTTTTCAGATTACCCAAAAAAAAAAATCATAATTGAAACCGCCCTATCTGCCCCTAACCAAAGTTGGCGCTTTTATGCTTTGTCTTGCTTCTATCCTCGAAAGTAAAGAATTTAAAAAATTGATTTATTGATATAAATAAATGTAAACTATGTACTCCACAAAGTAGTAAAATAAATGCATATGTTAGTTATATGTTGCAAGTTTGGGGGCGTCCGATAAAACCGTGGAAGGACCCACCCAACTTTGTCACAAGAAAACTCTACTAAATAAACGATACTTATATGTTTTTTTTTATCAACAAATCTATTTTTCAATATCAATTTTATAAATATAAGTTATTTAAAAAAATATTTTTAATTTTAAAAAATATATATATAGATTTCTTATTAAAATTTTATTTATAAAAAACTTTTGTTAAAAACATTAAAAAACACTCTTTAGTTTAAAATAATATAATTATAAATAGAAATATTACAAACACACTTTTTAACATTTTTAAGTATTTTACTTATTAATAAAAAAATGACTAAAAACTATAAGATTTTTGGGTCTTGTATTTTTTATGCAATTGTCAATCTTCTTATTTTTGATGCAATTATAATTATATTTTTTGTAAAATATTATTAATAACTCCATTTTTTTTCCAATGACTTGCATAATTTGAAATATGAAGAAAATTTGAAAGACTTTTATAAATAAATGTATTACATGGTAAAGCGTATTTACAATATTTCTAATGGAGAAATAGTGATAGGTGGTAATCGCCTCATAATAAAAAATATTATTTTTCATATTAAAATGTAACTAGCATTAGCCATTTATGATAGGAAAATTTTATCATAACAATATAATAAACAAGAGACTCTATATAAAAATTATAATTTTAATATATATATATATATATATATATATATATATATATATATATGAGAAATTACTTTGTTTTTTAACAATCCTCAAAATAGGTCTATGTTAATTGAAAAACAAATGTTATCATCATTTTAAAAAGTAATTTAAAAAAAGGACAAAAAATGTGAAAAATAAATATAATTTTGTTATATATATATATATATATATATATATATATATATATATATATATATATATATATATGTCAACGTCCATGAAACTTTTTTTTTAGCTTATAGTTGAGTTCAGAAGGAGGAAATACATAATAAAAACAATTATATCTCCTGTGTTATTCTATTCTATGTGTTATTTGTTTAATCTATTAGAATAATTATCTAAATTTTTTTATTTAAAAAAATATTTATCACCATTCAAAGGAAAGAGAGAAAAATTCGATTAAATCATATCATATATATTTCTAAAAAAACTCAAGTGATGTAATAGTTTTAAAAGTGAATCGCCCAATATTAATAATGAAACCTCTCATTGATTTATTCTGGTCCGTTCTATTTTCTTACCCTTTACGCGACCTTGCTATGTGTCTCGTTTTGAGCTTGGTTTTTTGAATCCTGTATTGTGTGGCTTCTGGATATTTTCGATGGTATGGTTCACATTATTTCTAAATTTTGTATCCATTGAAGTGACATCAGTAGTCAAAGTTTCATTTTTATTTTCAATTATAGTTAGCAGTGCCTTTCAACATCTACCCAACTTTTATGCTATTAAAGAATCATATGATTTTATATAAAAAATCACATGATTTAATATTGACATGCTAAGTATCTATTAAAATATCAATATAATTTTGGAAAATATTTTTAAAATTTGACCAAGCCCATAATCCGGCCCATTAAAAAATTGACTATTCGTGCTATGTTTTTTCAAATGGCCCAAGAGGAATTGGATAATGAATATCAATTTTGGGCTTAATGAAACCCATGGGCTGGCACGCGAAGAACTTCCATGAATGCATGTGGTGAAAGAGAGAATTATTTATAGAAAGAGGGAATAAAAATAAAGTTTATCTTTTCTCCTCTTATTTGCTACCCGTTATATTTAAAACAACGATAAATTTGTTTTATCATCACGATTTTGGCACGATTAGGGTTTGCTGACTGATCGTCTTTCAAATTCTCGATCTCATTCATATTCTACCTTCAACACTTTTGTCGCTTACCTGGTACTATTTTCTCTATATATTGTTCTAATTTATCCGTGTCATGTTATCTCAATCTTTTAAAATTTTATTTACATTAATTTACTATGTGTTTATGTTCATTTTGACGAAACGAATTAAGTGATTATGACAAGCGTATGGTATTTCGAAATGCAACGGATTTTTATTTTTGTTGTAGCCAAGATTTAAACCGCCTTTTCGGGTTTAACACAATTCCTTGCTCTCTAAGTTTCTGCCTTGTTTAGGCCTTTCCCCCACCAGTTTCCTTTTCAATTCTTTGGTTCGCCACGTAATTTTGAAATCACAATCAAATCAATTCCTGATGTTGTGGCCTACTTAAAAGAGCAATCGCTGCATTTCAAAGAACATGTCTCCGTTATATTCCCAACATTAGAGAGCTGAAATATAAAGGAATGTTCAAGTTACTTTAGATTCTATGGTTGATACTTGGGAATCTCTTAAAATGTTTATTTTAGGACCAAACCTAGCCATATCTACAATTTTTCTCATCATAGAATATAGAAGAGGAGCATCAAGTATTTTTTTTGCGCCAACCAATAAGCTAGAAACTTCCTCAAATGTCCACAACTGTAGATTTACTCTTAATAGTTTATATTCTATATCTTGTGTTGTAATAGCGTCAGTGTGCCCTAGTTGAAGGGTGAACTATATAGATTTACCCCCATATTGTTTTGGAGTTATTTTATAGTAATATTATTTTTTGTATTATATGGATATTGAACCTGGGAACTGGGATTAATGATAGGAGCATAATCTTCTAGAAGTTTTTAAGCTTTAGTTGCTTTTATGTAGTTGGTACCATTATTAGTTAGGCATTAGTTATCATTCATGCATCGAAAGACCAAGTATTTTCTCGATTGTGTACTACCACTTAAAGAAGCAGCATGCAGGGGCACAGAGGTGGCATGGATCCTTTATTTAACTTTGGTGGCTCTTTTGCCGGTTTCGGAGGCTTTGACACCTTTAGACCTCCGAGGACATTGCGAAGGGATCCCTTTGATGATCCTTTTTTCACTCGTCCTCCTGGAAGCATCTTCCAATCTACTCCCTTTGGTCTAAATGGAGATCTTTTCCCGCTGCATATGCATCCACTTGGATTTCTTGAGCAGCAGGCTCTAGAACCAAGAAAATCAAGAGGGGTAATCATTGAGGAATTAAACTCTGATGAGGAAAACGAGGATGCAGAGGAGGAGAAGAAGCATGCTAGGGCAGACAATGAACCCTTTGTTGAACTACCAAATGAAGAAGTTGAAGGTAATGAATGTTTCTTTTGAATTTAACGCTCGGTGCTTGTTTTATCACATAAGTAGTTGCTTGGGGTTCGTTTAGGCTGTTCTCTTTATGTTTACGATGCAGGGAAGGGGAGAAAATATTTGCAGCATGAAAATAAGTACTGCAGAATTAACAATATTCGTCCAATTCCTCAACCAAGTAGCTTCAACTTCCAAAGCTCGACATTTACCGATTGTGGCACAAATGGAACATACTATACTTCATCAGAGATAAGGAGCACTAGCAGTGATGGAGTGAATATTTTCCAGTTTACTCCCTTTGGTCTAAGTGGAAATCTTTCCCCCCTGCATATGTATCCATCTGGATTTCTCGAGCATCAGGCTCCAGATCCTCAAAAATCGAGGGGGCCAATCATTGAGGAATTAAACTCTGATGATGAAAAGGAGGATGCCAGAGAGGACGAGAAAGAAAATCGAAGAAAGCATGCTAGGTCTGAGAATGAACCCGCTGATGAACGCCAGTATGATGAAGCAGAAAGTAATATGTCTTTTGAATTTAACACCAGGGGCTTTTTGCTCTCACAAAAGTAGTTGCTTGGGGTGTGTTTAGGCTGATCTCTTTATGAATACAATGCAGGGAAGAGGAGAAAGTACTTACAGCTTGAAAATGAGTACTGTAGATTTAATAATAATCGCCGAATGTCTCAACCTCATAGCTTCAACACACCAAAGCTCAGCAATCACCTATGGTGGTGCAAATGGAACATACTATACTTCATCAAAGACAAGGAGGACTGGTATTGATGGAGTAAGTATTTAAAATGGTGACAAGCAGCCAAACTGCACGCTTCATGGATTTGGATAATAACATTATTTTTATTTCATCTTTAATGTAGGTGAGCTTTGAAGAATGCAAAGAGGCTGATAGTGCCAAAAGACCAGCTACTCCCATAATTTCTGGAGGCATTCATAATAAGGTATTCATAATAAGGCATTCATAATAAGGCATTCATAATAAGGCATTCATAATAAGGCATTCATATTGTTCTCGTTGGTACTAATAGTATGCTTGCTGCTTTAGTTTTATCCTATCACAGTCTGTTTTTTAACCATTTGTTGCTATTTATATTTTTTTGTACTCATTCTCTGATATAATTTATAGGGAAATTCTGTTTCAAGAAAACTCAATTCAAATGGTAAAGTGGACACTATGAATACCTTGTACAATCTGCATGAAGGTATATTATTGTCATGATATTCGTGTATTACAATATATCTGTTGTTGTAGTTTCATACTCTTGTATGTTAGCGTTGGTAAAGTTTTAGGTTGTGATTTTGTAGATGAACTTCCTACCTTTGAAGAAGCGTGGAAATGAAAGACTCAAAAGTATTTGCCTGGTAGTGTAGGTGAGTTTCCTTGTCATTCTGCCCCTTGATGATTACGTAGGTTTATCTTAGTTAGAATGTTGTTGATACATTAGAATCCTATAGATATAATAACTAATGATGTTAAGAATATTTGATGATTTTAGGATCAATTAGATTGATTCTGTTATATTTCTTGTAGATTGAATATCTCCGTAGTGATCTGAACATACGAAATTCATTAAATTTCTTCATCTATCTGGTACCAAGATGGATGCCATCCTTTGTTACCTATTTTGATTATTTAATCCTTTCAACAATCTCTACATTATCTAGACATCATTAATGCATGTAGGTGACCTTTGAAGAATGCAAGGAGGCTGATAGTGCCAAAAGACAAGCTCCTCACATAATTTCTCGAGTGTCAGCAACACATTCTTAGAAGTTACAAGCAAGTCCTTATTTGTTATCATGTTTGTTCAAACGTAATCTTTAATTTTGCTCAATGGTGTTTAAGGGGTAAGCAATAGTGCACAAGAGCAGTCCACACAGGCTGCTTGGGCGCTCTCATCTACACAGGTGGTATATAATTTCCTTTCCCTTTAGTTTCAATGACTAATTGGCATCGGTTTATGTTCCTTAGTAGTAAGGATTTTTCATTGAAATATTATATAGCAAAATTAGTTTACATTGTTGCCACACATTCCAATGGAGGAGCTTATTTACTCCGCGCTACTGTCAGATCCTTGTGTTGACGGTGATATCACGGGACATTTATAATTATCGCGTCCTGTATCGGAGGATAGGCATTTATACTCCCTTACTTATTCTGTATCGGAGTACGGGCCCTTATACTCCCTTGCGTGTCGTATTCATTACTAATCAGAAACATGTGAACCTATTTATTTACGACATTATCAGATTATCTATTGTTACATTATTCTAGTTGAACCCATGAGGCTACGTGCTTAATTGTTGTAAACGTACTAAATTTTTCGTTATGTAGATAATGTTATCTTGACTATTTTTCAAAATTTAGGTTAGTGAAGATGTGTTTGACTCGATTTGGTTTTAGCTCACATTAAGCTGAGAAATGATTCCTCGTATCTTTTTATGTCCCTGTGAATTACCCGTATTCTTATTTGTATTTTGAGAATATAAAAGAAAATAAAGATGTATCTTTACAACTGAATAAATCATGATGTCAATTGTTTAAGTTATAATAATCAATAATTTTAAAAATTTATTAGGATTATTTGATTTAGTTTTATTTTTTAGTTTTTAAAAATAATTCTAGAGATTCATTTTAAAAAATTGTTTTGAAATAAGTTGGAAAAAAAAGTAATAATATTATTTTTCAAAGCTATTTTAAATGAAAGAGAATTATAAAGATGACGAAAGTTGAAAAATGTTGTTGATAATTTTATGATGGGAATGAAGATATTTATTAACAAAAATAAAAAAATACTTTTATTATTTTGAAGTTTTAAAATATAAAAAAATTAGAATAATACATAAGTCTTTGTTTTTTTAAATTAATAATTTTTTATTATTTTAGTTTTTAAATCTTTTTGATGATTAATGTTAATAAATTTTATATTTTTAAAATATTGTGGCTACCTTTATATGTACAAGTGATTAGTGCAAGAGGAATAATGAACTTAAATATCAAGGGATGGTATTTAATTTAGGAAAATGAATGGGAGAGATTAACTTTTAAGTGTTTTTGAATCATTTCTAAAATTGAGTTTTGATGAAGATGAATATAATGTGTACGCAAAAAATAACTTTTCTCTTAAAATTTATTGTATATAAGTTTATTTGTTTGTTAGAGTCAATAACTAAATTATTAATAATTGTTAAATTAAATTATTATATTAATAACTATTGTTAAATCCATTTATTTTTAATAACTAATTAGATTCATTTATTTTTCTCATTTTTTTCATAAATTTATTTATAATTGTAGTTTTTTTCAAATTCACAAATTACTTTTATAATTTTACAATGAAAAGAAATTAGATCTAACAATTACTTTATTTAATATAATTTGTTTTCAACAACTTTATATAGATTAAAAAAATTAAAACTCTCAATTATAACAGGTTTTAATTAAAAAAAAAATCCAAGTTAAAAAAATAATAATAATAAGGAGATGAGCTACGTTAATTAGCAATCCGTGAAAGTGAAAGTGAAAGTGATAGATGAACTAAATTTTGATGATTATGATTTAAAAAACTAATTTTGTATATTTCTCATTTATCAAATATTATAATTATAATTTTTAACTCAGTAGTAAATGCTTGATTTAACAAAGATCATTTGATTGAATAATATTATAATAGAGATATGACCACATGAGGGTTTTTTTTTTTTAATCTTAATTATTTAATACAGTGTCACAAGTTTAGCGTGTATATAGATGTTAAGCTTAGATAAATTCTCACTAGAAAAAGTGCATGTAAAAGTTTAGTCAATGTATCAATCACAGAGCCGATAAAAGAACAGTAAAAAATAATAAGACCTGGAGTTTTGTCCTAAATAGAATGATAATCCCATGCAAAAATTCTAAAATGACAAATATTTGGTTTTAAAATTGACCATGCTTCTTTAAAAGTGATTTCATCAACTTGTCCTCTAAACATCTATTCAAGATATAAATCATTAACTTTTTGTATGTTGATTTCATATTTTGTCTTATTACAATGTCATTGTGCTTTAAAATATAGGTTATTAATTATCTCCTCATAAATTAACCTCTTCTGATTATTTTAATATTTCCACTAAGTGGAAATGTAGTTGTCACATGAGTTTTTAATGATTTTAATTTTTGTTTACTTTATCGTTTTTAATGATTTTAATTTTTGTTTACTTTATCTTTTTATCTGTGTTTTGAAAATAAGAAAAGTGAAAAACACATTGTATTATAATAGGTAATTTTAATTTTAAAAAGGGACAAATACATCAATATTTCTTACGAAATCATTTATGAATTATAAACTATATTTGTTAACACCTAATGAATTCACCTTAAAAGACTATAAATATTTAAATTATTTATTAACTTAAGTGTTTTAACGGACTTAGTACGAACATAAGTTATAAATAAGTCCATAATTTATTTACTTGTAAGATACTCACAAGTACATAACTTATTAAGAATTCTAATAACGAGATAGTCCAACTATAAAGCATGTTGAGGTTATTGAAATTAAAACAATAGTACCTTTGGTGTCATCTCTAACTTTCATGAGCAACTTTGGAAATTAAGTAATGATGTTCATCCACCTCAATTTCAACTTTAAAAGTTTTATTGTTAGATACTCAAACTTTAACTATCAATATATTGTCGACATAAAAAACCTTCAAAGATGTTATTGTATAATCTTTTTCCAATATTTAATCAAGACTTACGAAGTTGTTTCTCATTTTACGAATATACAACACATTGAAAATGTACTTATCTTTGTTCTAAATTGAAATTTTTCTTATTCATCCACATTAATATAATTATGATTTATAAATTTTACTTTGTTTTTTATAGTTTCATCAAGACTCACAAACCACTCCTTCTGTTCAATCATATGATTGAAACACCCAAGATACATGTAATCACTCTTATAATACTTATATGTTATTATGACGGTGAATAATACTTGCTCTCTTCTTACTACTCTCCATAAGTCATTCTTGTTTCGATATCTTTTTTGCTATAGTCGCATTTAAACATATACGTAAATTAAAAGTGACAAAATTTTATACAAGTGACATATCTTTTTATTATCAACTTTCTTCTTATTCCTTCTTAATGAGGACAATGAACTTAGCTCATAATTGACTATTTCACAAATCTTTTTCCTTTATTTTTTTTTTCATTTTCTTTATATGTTCCCTTGTCTAGAGAATCTTTAGCTAAATTATGTATATAATGCTTGATTGAAATTGTCATGATTCATCTCTTTAACTCTTTGTTCAAGTGTTTCCAGGGACCTTTGCAATTACTCAATCTCAAGGGATTTAAGGTTCTTTGACTCTTTTATCACAATGGAAATTGGAAGTTAATGTTTCAAGCACTTTCTCAACCTCCAACTAACCCTTCATCACATCACATATCCACAACTTTTCATTTGGTTTTTCAAGGGTCAAATCTTGGTAAACTAATAAGAGATAGTGTCACTTTCTTTCATTCATAAAAGTTCATATTGAATTCACATCGTTTGGAGCTTTACTTAATTTTCTTGGCTTCTTTGGAACTTTTCTTCAAGTTATCTCGGGCCTTCTAACATTTATCGAACTAAAAACCTTCTCAAACACATATTATCAACAAACTAATGAATCAAAACAATGTTTATAGTCATTCTATTTGAAATCTCTTCTAGAAGTGCAATTATTGTGTTGTTTTGTCCAATAAGGATTATGTGTGTTGTCTACTTCTGGAGTAGGTTTTTTATATCCCACTGGAGAGGATTTTGTGATTTGTTCAACAACTGCTAAAACTGTTTTGTAATTTTTGCCTAGAAAAGGTTGTATTCCTTCCATAATCTTATCATGAATTTGTTTTTTTTTTCTATCTTTAATTTTTATGTTTATGTAAGTTTATGAGGAGATATCTAACCGGCTCTGTCAGATTCAGTATCTCATAATCTTATATTGAACTTTATAGCTATAACCGACTTTATCTCGGACAATCATCATTTTAACTAGCTTGGTTTCAAGTTCTTTGCAAACTAAGTAGTCACGTTGACTAACAGAAGAGATAAAAAGTTATAAGTATTCCTTTCTTTCCTTTTTTTTTTCCCTTTCCCCCCTCCTCTTTCTGATATTGTTTGGAGCTTTACTTAATTTTCTTGGTTTCGTTGGAACTTTTCTTCAAGTTATCTCAAGCCTTCTAACATTTGTCAAACCAAAAACCTTCTCAAACTCATATTATCAACAAACTAATAAATCAAAACAATATCTGTAGTCGTTCTATTTGAAATATTTAAAGATAGACTTACGAGTTTCAGTTGCATAATCTCTGACAACTTAATAATTATCATGCACAACTTACATCTTGAAAATCAAATATTATCTTTATTTGGATCTATCACACACCATATTTCTTGTCATTAAGCTCCGGTAATATATAACACAAATAAACTATTATTGATTATGATTTTAAAATAATATTTGTTTTTCTTAGATTTAAGATCAAAAATCTTATTCTGCCTATAATTGTTTGAAAATAACAAATACAACCTAACTAACACATACTCAATCACATATATAGAAAATAATGTAAAAAAAAATGTATTAATATTTTTTTAGAGAACTTTTAACATTATTTATAACTATCATTTTGTAACTAATGATACAAATGTAACTATGGATAGTTGAATTACCATTTCTACTTCAATGTATAGTTATTTCTAACCTCACGCAGGGGCATTCCTCCATCATATTTCCCACCATACCAAGATCACAAATGCCTCTACTGCAAATAAGGAAGAAAAAAAAAACATAAAGAAGAACAAGGAATGTTTTATCTCTTTTCAAATAAATAAATGTAATGATTTATAATAAGTTCATCATGTTACAAGAGAGAAAGAAGCAATATAAAAATAGCTCCTAGTTTTAGCTTTCCTTCTCACTGTGTAACATGGATCCTTTACTGTTGTAATATAATGTTTAATCTCTCTCTATATATTATATATCCATACACATACTGTATGTACAAAAGGGAAGAAATGAACATAACACAAAATATACTCTTCATCTCCGAATGAAATGCACGTCCCCTGATCGTTGATCAACATGCTTAATCCATCTACGTCTCGTGCTACTACCACCAGAGGCAGACACATGAGCCATGTCGAGTCCTTTCCCCACGGGAAGAAACGCCGAACGAACCACGCGCCGCGAAGAACCCTGCGCCAACAGGCTCCGCCATTTGAAACCCTTGGAGGTTGAGTTCGCGTTCTTGCAGAGCAACACAGCCCCCTTGTCACTCAACTTTGCGAGCCTCAGCACGCGTGAAAAGTCCTTCCTCCGAGAATCCACCACCATGAAGTCCACCCCGACCAAGCCCCCCATCACCTCCTCCGCCTCCCCCACCATGACCTCCGCTGCCACGCCCGCCTCGCCCATTCTCTCCTTGTACTCCGACCTTGCCCGCTCATCGATAACCACGCACACGTGCCGTCCGCCCGTGTGCGACCGCGCCACGGCTAGTCCGACGCTGGTGGCAATAGGTCCTCCCTGCGACCACGTCTCCACTATAAGCTGCGCGTTCCACCCCGCCGCCATCGCCGAAATAAACTCCGCCACTCCCGATTCGCTGAAAACTTGACACTGCACAACGGAAAAAGATTAATCCGCGGTAATTCATAATTAATAGAATAATAAAAGTAAACCCAATGGTTTGATTTGATTGAATAATTCGTGCTTACAGTTTGAACTGTCTGGATGTATGCTTTGGATGCTCTCTCCGGTGACCAGGTTAGTTTCATGTTGCCTGTGATGTGTTTGTGTTGGTGTGAGTGTGAATTTGGAAATGAGAATTGGGGGTGTGGGTTTAATTTATGTTGAATAGGTGTGCACGCGATAAGGGTTGAGTTTAGACAAAGACCGTTGACTTTTCATGCATTCTCGATTCAACCAACGTATTGGGTTACGATAGCGGTGGGGGTTGGGGGCAGAGACAAACACCCTTTTTCCACTCTCGTCTTTTTCTCCGTGCTTTCTTCCTCAGGGTGTATGACGTGGCAATTTATCAACGAAAAATTACTTTTTATATTAAATATATTTATTCTTTTTAATATATAAAGTACAATAAAAAACACTGAATACATGATCTTCAACGCGTCAATGCATTCTCACCTGAGGATGAAAAAGGGTGATAGTATCCAAATTCTTGATTGCCTTTGTTTAGCTGGTTTTAGATTTTAGTGATGGCTCTGTTCCTGGTTGCCATGCCCTTTTCATAACTTCTGTTCTAGAGTGGGCTTCCACTCTGCTCATTGGTCAATGTCACCAAATATCAAATAATATCAGCGTCACACACAAAATATCAAACTTTCTTCTTTTCATTTCATACATGAGGTGTGGTGTGGTTCACATGTAATACTTTTATTTATTTTTTGTGTTTTATTGCCATTGCATATAATAAATTATGTGTGAAAAAATATTACAGTATAAAGTATATTTGTATATAGGCTAATGCAAACAAATGTTTTATCTTTTTATGTTTGGTTCACGTTAAAGAGTTGATTCACTTTGAGAAAAGGGTTGCGAACGTAATAATCCGCGAAAACGAGTTGAGCTTTACAGGCTTGAAAGAAAAAGACATCGGAAGAATGCATGACATGTACAATGGTACGAAGACATCCACCTACAAAAATGGAAAAATGCAGAAGAAAAATGGTCAAACAGAGAGAGAGGGTCTAAGATTGATTCCAGAAAGAAACTATATTTGTTTATTGGAGGCTGTGAGATCACTGCATCCCTAATTAATAACCAAGAATATTATCTAAAGGATGAGTAGTGACCACGTCTTATTCAAATGTGTCAAACACCTTATCTACCAATAAACAATTATACTTTATCTCACTCTACAATCAGACGCGTGCACAACCTTCTTATTTCTGGTCATTTTAGACTCAAAAGGCTTGGTAACATTCTCTAATACATTATTTTTAATTATAATTATTAACAACTACAACATTAAAACAGTTATTTTTTTACATGTAAAAAATGTGTTCCCATGTTAAGATAATTACACTTAGTTATCGTATTCAAAATATTTTATTTTGAATTTGTATATTTAACAGACTTTTTTTTATATTAAGAGAAAAAAATTATAAATTTCTTTGAATCGTCTGGAACTTTTAAATGTAATATGACAGGTAGCTTTAAATATTTAATACAATTTGCAAAAAATATAATTTTTATTAAATTTCAGTTTATAAAAGAAAATTCTTTAAAATTTGGTCGTAGAGATAAAACAACAAGGTCAATGTTGGCTATGTCAATTAATTAGCGCTAGATTCTCACCTTCTTCTATCTTAATTACTAGACTGGTTGGCGTAAATTTCTAAATCAATTCGTTAAATATATTTAATAAAACATTTAATTTGTTTTAGTTTTTTTTTATATATATAATTTTCAATTGCTATTAAAGGAAGGAATATCCGAAATATTATCCATGGAAATAAATGTGACCAATGTATTAGAGAAAAAAATGATATGTTGTAGAGAAAACATAATTTTTCACCTCTCGTAAGGGAATACAAATATTAAAAAAAAAAAGATTAAAACCTTTACAAAATTGAACAATTTCTGAAACTTATTAAAAAATAAAATGCCACCATCATATTCTTTTTTTTTATGTATTTATTTTTTTAATAAATGAACCATTCTTATAATTTTTTATAAATTTTTAAGTAATGATAAATTTGTTAAAAAGAATGTGTTAAATTCCTAAAATAGTATATTATAGAAAGTGTTGTTAATATTCATAAAAAAAAATTTTATCTGATCCATAGTAGATTGCTTTGTGAGAAAAAAAAAAAAGTAAGTCCAAAATTAATGTTCTTTATGAATGTCATTTTGATGTTTAATTGTAAGATTAGTAATGGAGTTTGTTTCGTAAAAGTGTTATCTTCTTTCAATAATTACGCATAATTACTGTAATAAATTTTTGTGATTAATGATGATGAGCAATCATGTCATAAAAGTGTGTTTGACAATTAACAAAAAGAAAAGTTTTGTTTGACCTAAGATGTGGAGGCAGTAAATGGTGGCCAACTTTCTGACCCTGAACCACCCAATTCACTTCTGTAGGCTTTGTACATTCGTCCGTTCATATTCATAGCACTATAAGAACAATTATATATAAATAATATTTTAATTCCAAATATTTATCCAGTATTTTTTTTAATGATAAAATAATAATATAAAACATTCATCTAATTTTTTTAATAATTAAAATAAAAAATATTTTTTATTATTATATTAATAAAAAAAGTTATCATTTTATTTTATTTTTCTTTCAAGTTATCACACTATTATTTCCTATGTGCTAAAAACCATGTACTACTTATGCGAATTAGTTGAACGGACTTACGGAACAAATTCAACATCATTCAGTCAATTTTTCTACAGTAATACATTTTCTCAAATTTTGATAATATCATTAAGTTTTATTCTGTTTATACTTATTTCTTTCTCTTTTATATTTTTTATAATTACTTTTTAACTAATTTCTTATAAATGATAAAAAATTTAAAATATTCAATCTAAAAAATATTTCAAAATAATTTAAAAATTTATTTTAAATATAATTTTTTTTACTTTAAATATATTTTTAAGTAAATTAATTTTTGAATATATTTTAAATTATTTAAAACGGAAATAACTATTATAAATAGTTATTTAATTAATTAAAAATATTTTTATGATAAACATTATAAAATTTATTATTTTCAATAATTACATTTTTTTAATTTAAATTTGATTTTAAAATTTGTATATTTAATAAATTACTATATATATTTTTACATTAATCAAATTTATAATTTTGAATTAAAATAATTAAACATATTAATAATAAACTAATATGTTATCAAATAATTAAAAATATACAATAATTTATTAGAACGATCACTAGTATAATTTAAAAACGTTAGAAATATTTAACCACTAAATCTATAATGTTTAGTTAAAAGAATAATATTATCTAATTAATAAATAAATAATTATCAGATTAAAATAATTTAAAATAGATTCAATGATTTATTTTTATTTAAAATATGTATTGAATTAGATATAACTAAATTATATTATTATTTAAATAATTTTTTAAAATATTTTAAATTATTTTGAAATGTTATTTTCCAAAAAAAAATTAAAAACTTTTGATTTATTTATGGATATAAAGAGAGGAATATAAAAAAAATGTAACAAAAAAAATATTTTATGCAGTGCCAAAAATTTCAACAAGTGTTTGTAAATATGATATATCATATTTTTAAATATAAAATAAAAATATTATTAGCACATCATTAAATATATTTATGTTATTAATAAAAACATTAACACTAATTCTGTGCAACTATCATACATTTATCTAATAATCCTTTATTATAATTATCTTTTAGTAAAATTTAACTAATAAAATAGAGTGTATTATAAATTTTATTAAAAAATCTAGCAGAAGCCAATATTTTGGATTAGATATTAGAGATTTTAAGTTTAATTCTTACAGTTGTTATTTAGGTCATCAGTTCAACCTACTTTATAAGTAATAGCTTGGGTAAATTTTGACATGATTAAAAATTTTAAAAATTATTTACATATTTATGCAAAGATAATTAATTAAAAAAATAAATGACATATATATTTTTAATTTAAAATTATATTAATAAAATTAATTTTATTTAAAATATAATAATTTAATATATAAATTATAAGAAAAATTAACTATTAAATATCAAGATACAAAAAGTAAAAATTGACTCTTCATTATTATAATTAATTTTTCAATAATTTATCCATCTAAAATAATAAATAATTTTAATTATTAAATATTTAAATAAGTGATCCAAGCTGATGTAATGGTTTTAAGTGTTGATGACAAAACTTTTTAAGAAATAAAAAAGTCATACTCCAAATATTTTTAAATTTATATATGCATCTTAAATATATTTATTTATATTTTTTAAATTTTAATTATTCGTTTTATAAATTTTTAAAATTTTTTTATATTTATTAATTGTATATTAATTTATTTCTAATTCATTTTTCCACACTTAACTAATTAAGATAAAACATAAAATATGAAGATTATCACTTAATAATATTTTTCTTAATGATATGTCATTTATTTTCATTTTTTTAAAGTGAAAAATTGTCATTATGTTTGATTTTAATGACAATAAAACAATGTGAAGTTAAAATTAAAATGAAAGTTTGGTAAAGATAAATTATAAGTGCTTTAACTTTAAAATTAGTTTGCTGAAGCATGATTTACATGCTTCCCATCCTTTCTCTAAACAAGTAAAGGTATAATGTTATAAACTCACCAACTTATCTCATCACAACTCAATAAAAAAATTAAAAAATATAACCAAAATATTTTACTTGTATTTTTTGTATTCTGCAACTCAAAATTTATTTTACTTAATTTTATACATGTAAATGAAATACAATAATATGTAAATATCTTCATCTAGATGCAAAATAACAAATTTAATTAATTATTAAGTATTTTTTTAAAACATTAATATAAAGAAAATTATAGGAACACAAATTAATTATATAAAAAAATAGCATTATTTTTAATTGAGATTTGTCTTTTGTCACTAAAATCCTTAAATTATTATTATTATTTAACAATTTTTTTGTTGTGGGTGGGTGGTAATGCACTAATGCTGTGTGATTGTTTATGACAGGTGCATGTACATGCAAACACATGTAATGTAGTCATGCTTTTCGTCCTTCCACCATGAATTCATTGTATCAGTATCGTTGGTCCTTTTAAATTATCTACTAAGAAGATAGTGTTTAATTTAATAGACAGTATTTGGTATTTATTATTATCATTAGCATTGGACCAACTTCTTGTGTTACATGAGGAAAGTTGTAAAAATCCTCTCGTTCCAACCATTGGTGCGTGAGCTTATGGTGTAAAAGTCGACATGATTTTGGCACTTTTTTTTCTTATAGAAGGTGAATTTTTGTTTAATTTGTGTTTGACAATTTTATATGCATGGATAACACATTTTTTAAACCTTTACAGAACATCAGCAATGACTAATCTATCACCAAAATACTGTTGAGTTTAAAAATTTTCAACCACCTTAATCAATTATGTCACTGTTCACAATTGATAATATGAAATTTTTTACTATAATTAATTATGTTCTTAGCAATAATTATGAATAAATTTTTATCATACTTGATTACAGACTGGTTATGATCCATTTTTGAAAAATATTATTGGAATGATTATAGTTGATTTAGCTTAATATTGAAAATCTGTGAAGAGATCATAATCAATCAGAGTTACTTTCATATTCAGAATTTACCACAGTTCCTTAGTCCTTATAAAAGAAATGTAATATCCCCTAGGAATGATAAGGGAGTTGTTTTTTATATGTCAAAATTTACTTTATATTAATGGGTTAATTTTTGTTTATTAAATTTGAAATAAAATGTAATAAATTTTTATTTTATAATATCAGATTCCTTTTATTTTCTCCACCAATCTTTATCATTTTATTAAAAAAAAAATTCAAATACAAAATTTTGAATTACTAAAAAAACCACCTACCAATCATTGTCACTTTACAAACCTTTTAATATCAAATAACTCCATGTTTTTCTTTTCTACAAGTGTTTATTTATATTTTCTCAATTTTGTTATCCACTAAATACTTATATTTATGAAGTAGAATCTTTACATATGTTATTTATTTTACATGTCTCCACAATAATATTATAGTTCTTAAAATTTGTCGTAAACTATCTCTACTTTTAAGAAATGTTTTCTTACTTCTGATCACACAAAATTATCAATACATAAAATGAATAATATAATTTATAATTTTATACAGTAATAAAAATATCATATTCTAATTAATTGGATCAACATTAAAAATGATAAAAATGGATAACCAATAGTTCAATTATGTCAATTCTTGTTCTCATTCATGGTTGCACTCTCTTTTCAACTTACCACCATTTTGAGATGTCATTTTAAAAACAAAATTCTGAGAGATTTTTTTTTTTCACATTTCAATTATGTCAATTATGCTTTGTTGCTGCTGTCACCTTGTATGCCTGGTAAGAAGAAGGGTCCATTTGGAGAATATACTCCAATTGATTTCATAGGGTAAATGAATAAAAACAAATACTGTAGCTTACACGTAAAGTAATGCAGGAAGCTACGCGAAGTTGAGGAAAGGACTAGTGTAGTGAGGAGCAGACGAGCGGATTCCCTAAGAGGACTTTCATCGAACATCTATCCATCTCCGCCAACGTGTCCACTTTCCAACAATCCACGCGCCCCTCCAACCCCAACCCGCTTTCTGTGTGTCCATCCACTTCTTCTTCTTCTTCTTCTTCTTCTTCTTCTTCCCCCACCTTCTCTCCTTCTTCCCCCAAAATCAGCCATACCCATGAACCGTGTAACATTGTCCAAATCCATTGCCCAACTTTGCAGAGGGATCCACCACAACACGTGGAGGCGGTTCTGCAACCGTTGTGAAGCCCAGCTTGAAAGTGCCGGGGCCGTGGGCTCTCTCCTCAAGTCCCGTTCCGTTATACGGTTCCGCGGGCCTGATACACTTAAGTTCCTTCAGGGCCTGCTGACCAACGATGTACGCAGACTGGGTGAACCCATTGGTGACAGAACCGAAAACTTGCCCACGCCGAACGTGCCTGCTACGTCGGTTCCTCCCATTTATGCTGCGCTATTGACCCCTCAAGGGAGATTCCTCTACGACCTCTTTCTCTATAAGCCTCCCACTTGCGACACCAAGCTCGATGACACCGGCACTGGCCCTGACTCCCACTCCGATAAACCCTTTCGTTTGTTTGCTGATGTGGATGCTTCTGTGTTGGATGAATTATTGCAAACCTTCAACAAGTGAGTTAACTCTTTCTTTTCTTAGAATTTGTTAGTTGTTCTGTTATGTATCTTCGGTTCTTTTCGTTCCATTACTTTGATTTGGACTTACTTTCTCAGTTTCACCTGTGTGTGTGACTATTTATTAGTTGTTGAGAAGCATACACGATGCATGCATCGTAACAGAGAGAAAGAGAGAGTTCCTTCACTTCCCATTACCATTTAGTTTTTGCCTTTTGTCAATTAAATTTTATTAGTATTTTGCATAGGTAATTTGATGTCGTTGGCCTAAAAAAGATTATAGTATCGACTATGATTTCTATTTGATTCACATAATGAAAGGTTTTAAACCAAAAGTACACAGAAATCAAGCTCTTTATTAATTGGGTGAATTTGTAAGAAGAGCGAGTAGAAGTACAGGGATATACAATTCTTCTTGCGGTCAATCATTGTCTCCTAACCTCACGTAAATCGCCATCGAGCCTTCTAAATACACTAGGAGCACGGAACAATCTTTGTGTTTTAGATATAAAATATACGCTATGTTTTTTTTTTTCCTTAACTAGTGCCCTATTATTTGTCTTAAAGCTGTAGCCGGTAGACACTGAATGGGATAGAACTGATAGACTCAAATGGGATTAGGGAAAAGAAACAATGAAAAGAACTGGCAGAGACAGCCCAACAATCTTATTATCCAGTCTCAGATAGAATACATTGGATGTTAGGGTGAGTTCGAGAGCACTAGACCTCTTCTTAGAAGCCCCTCAGTTAGTTAGTAACCTCCTTACCTCCTCTCAACTGTTATGTCCCTCTTTTATAGGGTCCTGTTGCGTAATTCTCATCTCTAGTCTGTTTTTGCCTCTTATAAACCCTTTTATTACATCTATTTGTATCTAACAGTGGTTATGTTGTATATGCATGCTATAAAGTTTGATGAACTAGCCTTTTAGCCTGTGCACTTAGTAGATTGTTGGGCTTGCCTTGGCATCTTGTTTTTGAAGTGATAAGAGCAAGTCAGTTCATGCTTTGGTTGTGTCTTTGGTTGCAGTTTATCTTCTTTTTACTTATTGATTTATTGGTTCTTATTTCTGAGCAGAAACCTTAACATTTTAGTGCTGCAGATTCAGGCTGAGGTCAAAGGTTGAGATTGATGATGTCTCGAGTGATTTCTCATGCTGGCAGCGTTATGGTGCTGGCATTCTTGAGAAGTCCTCAGAAGTAGAAGAACCAGAAGCAGCCTCTGTTGGCTGGGGTGCTGGTCTGGATAGTACTGCAATGTCATCGTCACATGGGAGTGATGGTGGGTGGCAATGGTTCAAGGATCCCAGATTGGCCTGTCTTGGTTTCAGAGGGATCTTCCCATCGAATATAACTCGTTAGTTTGCTATTCCGTCGTTGCTAATGATAAAATTTTGTGTCTATTTATCATGCAATCTTTTCTATTATTGTGACAAATCTACAGATATTTAGTCTATAAGAGTCCCCTTCATCTCTACCTGTTTCAGCACCTTTAATTGAGGCTGATAAAGAGACTGATGAACGAAATTTTCTTCTATGGAGACTAGAGAAGGGAATAGCAGAAGGATCAACCGAGATTCCAAAAGGTGTGTGTTTGTTTCCTTGTAAAACTACTTCCTCATTAGAATTCATTTGAGAAGTTATGTGTCTCAAATATGTTGTGATCATGTCCAGGTGAGGCAGTACCGCTTGAGTATAATCTTGCAGGCCTTAATGCAATTAGCTTTGATAAAGGTTGCTATGTTGGCCAAGAACTCATTGCTCGTACACATCACAGGGGGGTGATTCGTAAGCGGATAGTTCCTCTAAGGTTTCTAGACAACGATGGGAAAGGTAATGCTACTAGGAATATATGGCTTCTTTAGAATTGTATACTATTATAATGATGTAATCTTAGCCATTCATTTTTTGCGATTCCAGAGTGTTAGTTATGTTTGTTAGGTTCTGGTAGTTTGTACCTGGATATATTATATTCCTATACCTCATGTATTGTTTGTCAGTTTTTGAATGAATATCTCTTGTTTTCTCCTTTTCTATTCTTTAACAGAGTTAGTAAGCAAAGTCATTCCAGGCTCAGAAGTAATAAACACAGAGTCTGGCAAAAAAGCTGGTACAGTGACTACTGCCCTAGGATGCCGTGGTCTGGGGCTCTTGCGACTAGATGAAGCTTTAAAGGGGTCCAGTGCGTTGTCCATTAAGGGACAAGACGATGTTAAGGTTGTCCCTAGTAGACCAGATTGGTGGCCTTCTGAATGGCTTCAAGATCATGGACAGCACGCCGCTTTTGCCTAGGATGCCCAATGTCGTTCAAAGGGCAAGTATTTATGAATAATTTGTCGATGGGGGTGTTAATGTAATCCTAATGCTTCCTATGAGTGAATAGTTATTAAAAAAAGGGAACGATAAAGACGGCTGTTGTGGATTTTCTTGCGGAATGAGTTTCATTTTAGTAATGTAGCTGTCATTTGTTCTATCCATAGAATCTTGAGATGTGTTTGGCTAATTACAAAGGAACATACTATACTATTATATCATTGCACATGTGCAAAGCAATACTTTGCCCATTGATTCAGCCAAACATAAAAACTATACGCAGTTCATTTATGGATTTAGGTTTTAACTAGTAATTATGCAGCAGAAAAGCAACTGAACATTGATTTTTTTTTAGGGGGTTCCTTGTGCTTTAATCCATATGTATCCTTGTTATATTTACCAGACTCACCTGATGGTGAATAAGAGCGATAATGGATGATGTGATTGAAAAAGAAATAAAAATCCCGTCTTTTCCAAGCGTTTCTTGCATGATCACATACTCACCGATGACCAATTATGCTTTTATATTTTTCAATTGTGCATGGTTTTATGTGTCTGACTAGATATAGCTCACTGTAAACCAAAGTTTCTCGCAGTATCATGAAGAATGTGTTTCAAGCTATTAACAATAAAGCATGAGGAGGGTGTGCACGAGATCATCACCTTAGGAAGCGCTGTAATTTACAACAAACTGAATTAAGAAAATCTTTCAACCATCCCAGTTCGTAATAACAGGTAACGAATCCATTTAGATCCACAATTATTTGACAGTGGCTAGTTTTAGCTAAGTATATATATGCTCATGGAAATAATAGCATGTATGAAACCCAACTATTAGGAAATGCTTAAACGTTTCCTAATACCAATAAACAGTACTAGATGATTACAAATGAGCAGAAGACACACTCAACTCCTGAATCACATCCACCACGGTTGGTCTTTGGTCAGGAAACTCATGAGTACATTGTATTGCAAGCTTTGAAAGCGTGGCTGCTTCAGATCTAGAATACTTTCCCCTAAGGTTTGAGTCAACAGAATCGTCAAATCTGAAAGATTCAACTGCTGTACGTATTGAACTACCTATTGTCGTCTTGCCAGATAAAACTTGAAGAATAATAACTCCAAATGCGTATATGTCACTCTTCTCAGTAAATCTTCCAGTAGTAATGTATTCGGGAGCTAAGTATCCCATTGCTGCACTCACTTTAAGAGCTGAGAAAACAACATCATCTGCAAGAAGCTTAGGTAGTCCAGCATCCATGATCAATGGGTTAAACTGATGGTCTAGGAGAACATTTTCCACTGAAATATTCTGGTGAACTATTGTAGGTTTGCTTGCTTCATTGCTATGTAGATATCCAATACCTGTTCATAAATGAATAGCAAATATCATACAGAAAGCAGATATTCTCATGAATTATAAATGTCATGCATCACGTTGTCATTCAGTTATCCTGAACTTAAGCATTATAAGACAGTCTTAATTGTTTGAATAATTACATTGCAATAATTAGTCTCCTCCAGTGTCCTCTGTGCATGATGATTATTGCTGATCTTTTTGTCAGTTGTAATTCATTTGCATAAAGGACATTACTGGAATTTTCTTTTTGGAAGGAAAATTTTCTTCCGTACCGTATGTTGGAAAGGTAATACAGCTAAGAAAAATCTAGATACAGATAGTTACTGTATAATGTTCTCCCATCAAAATCATCATTTCATCTAATAACTGTTGCTTTCATTTCAGTAACTAAAATTGGCAGCAATTATTGAGATGAAATACCGATTTCTATAAAATAACACATGTGATGCGTATTTAAGTTTAGCTGAATAGGTAGGTAAATAGCAACAACTAACCCTTTGCAATGCCGTTGATGATAGAAACTCTCTTGGACCACTCAAGCACATGGTCACTTCCATCTTCTAAGTCAAGATATTGAGACAGGTTACCCATGGTGGCAAAATCATAGATAAGGAAACATTCACCTCGACTCCTTGAGCAACAAAATCCTCTCAGCCTAACAAGGTTTTCATGTCTCAGAGAGGTTAATAAGTTCAACCCCTTTACAAATTCAGCTTCCTCGGTTTTGCAGCATGTCACGCTGATGCTTCTAATAGCCACGAGAGAACCATCTCTGAGAATTCCTTTATAAACTGCTGAGAATTTGCTTTTACCAAGTAAATTGGCTTCCGATAGGTACTGTGTTGCAGATTCAACCTCATCCACGTTAAACCTAAATTGACTTAGATAATCATTGGATAACCCACCGGGATCAGCATTTTGACCATTGGACAAATGATCCCACCCACTATAATACTCAATATTAACAAGTGCAGATGGACTTTTTGTATACAACTCTTTAGGCTGATCAGGACTATGTTTCCCTTGAGAAGAAGAACTTGATGTATTGCTGACCCTCTGTTTTTGTCGGCGGTATCTGAAGAATGTCAAAAATCCAGCACATATGAACGTAAGACTAACAATTATAACACCTGCTGTGACGAAAACTTGAGGAAACCTTCGTGATTTTGAACAATGGGTTTGGTCACAATGCAACTGAACATTTGCAGGCTCTGGGAGAGCCTTTGAAGAATTACTACTTTTGGGTTGGTCTCGATCCAAGTTATCAATATGGTTAACGTTTAAATCATGATTTTTGTTGCAAGCTCTCAAAGTAGAAAACTCAACTCCACATAAGCCCGGGTTGTTTGCACCTTGAAATCCTTCCCCAAGTCTCTTCAATGCTTCATTTTCATTATCAACACTTTAATCAGTATACACAATACACTAAAAGATACACTATAATGCGAGGAAAATAAGTTAACTTTGCTCCAAGGAAAGGAGGACAGAGAGGCATACCCGAAGGAACAATTCCTGATAAAGAATTGTTCTGAATATCTAGAACTTCCAAATGTTCAATATGTGCTAGTGTTGCCGGAAGAGTACCATTAAAGTTGTTGAAGCTCAAATTTAGCCTTCTTAACTTCTCTAAAGTCCCCAAGCTAAGAGGAATTTGACCAGTTAACTTGTTATATTGCAAAGAAAGAGTACTAAGCTGCTTTAAGGAACCCATCTGTGTCGGTATATTCCCCACCAACTGGTTATCTCCCAACTGCAGCACTATAAAATAATAAAAAAAAAGGACCCAAATCTATTAATTGGGTTCATACCAAAATACTTGCATAACCACTACCGATTAGCAGCTAAGGGGCTCATGTGATATGCAGAACAGGTATTTTGTTCATCAAATCTAAAACTCTAGGAAAAACTTGATACCAAAACACTTGTATATAGCTTACCTTGGAGACTAGCCATGTTGCCGAGCTCAGGAGGAATAGTTCCCGATAAACTATTCACGTCGAGATAGAGATCAACCAGATCAGTGAGATTTGAAATGTGAGGGGGTATCTCACCTGAAAGGTTGTTATAATGCAAGTATAAACCTGTCAAGCATTTGAGTTCAGCCAGGGCTGGAGATAGCCAACCAGAAAGACCCTTTCCCTGCAAGGAGATGTTGGCGACTTTCTGGTTCTCGTTGCACGCAACCCCTTCGAAGAAACCACTGCATGGATCACCATCACTGATCCAGGAGGCAAGGATCTTGCCACCTGGGTCCAGAGATGACTTCAAATCCATCAGAGCTTTAAGCTCCGCAGTTCCAACAGCCATTTGAGGAATGAGAAATGAAACCAGAATAAGCAGAGAAAGAAAGTGATGAACTTTCATATCTGGTTTTTGAGTGTGAATTCTTGAAGAAGAGAGACCTCACCCGTGTGAGCTTTTATCTCTAGTTTGAACAATTTAAGGATGTGTTTGGTTTTGGTCAACTTGTTTGAGCTTTGTTTTTGGACTTGTTAGAGTGGGACTTTGTTAGTTAGTGGTTATAGATAGAGAAACAGGGTAAGAAGGAGAAGAATTTGAAAAGGGTGCATAATTAATTGATTGATTTAGTAACTTTTTATGAGTTGGTGACAGTGGGAAGCAGGTTGGTTCACATTGCATATATGTGAGTGACTCTTCTAAGAGAAGCAGGTTTTGGGGGGGGAAATAGGATTTTAATCATCAATTCCACTTACTATGATAGTCGCCGGTGATGCTTCCACTCCTTCTGTCGTGGCAACAATTTTGTATCGTGGCATTAAAGCCTGAATAATTATGTGGGTTTTGCGGAACCCACCACCTTTGACTATTTCCTCACCCAAAATTTTGAACATTCAGCACTATTTTTTTGCTACTATTTCACTACATGAAAATAAATTCAAAATTTGTTTACCTCCCCATTGCAATAATTAAAGTGAGTATTAAGTAACATAAACAAATACTAATTAAAAAATTATATAAAATAATGTAAAATTACAAAATTATATAAAATAATATAAAATTAAAACTTCAAAAATATAATACTTTATTTTATAATAATACGATGACCGAAACAATCAAGCCTAATCTTAATTACATAGTTTGGATTGATTGAAAAAAAATTCAAATTAAATACAGTGATTCAAATTTAATTTTACTATAAACCTAAATCAGTCCGACCCATAAATATTTTCAGTTATTGGTCCCCAAATCATTAGGTACTTTTTTTTAAATTTTTTATTAAGACTGCTTAAATTTATTTTTACAGATTATAAATCACTTTTGCATTTGAGATACATTGAGAGCATTATTAGGAGGTAACGGTGATAAGGAAAAAAGTGGTTTGTGTCATTAATTTTATTCCTTTTTTTTTTGGCCATTAGGAAATAATAGTTATAGAGAAAAAAAGCTTTGCATGTTTTCTTGATAATTTTATTCACTTGTTTTTTTCTTATTTTCCTGTTTTTTGTCGGACAATATATAATTCTTTATTCAAATTCACCCAAATCTAATAAATATTGGTTAATTCATATATCGAATCTGAAGAAAATAAAAAGAACTCAAATTCAACCAACGTAAGTGTCCATACTAATTCGAAGGAGTGATTATTGTTTTATAAATATAATTAGTAGATATATTTTTTTACATAATTCATAAGAAAATTACAATGCAATATATATATATATATATATAAGTTTCGAGGTCAAGAAACTAACCTACCCTTAACCTAACTTTTTCCAACTTATTATTATAACTTTACAGCTAACCATGAATTTATTGGAAAAAGATAAATAGATGATTTTTTTTATGCTATAAGGAATTTTGGTATAATAACTGTAAGGGAATTTTTTTATTTTATTAATTTATAATGCTCCATAATAGCAATTTGAAGTGAATTATATAGAGTTGATAGTTTAATTAGGCTACTTTCCAACTTTTAAATCTCAACTACATCCCAACCTTTAAAAAAAAACCTTTGACAAAGTTATGCAGAGAGACAACGAGACAACTGTTTCTGGGTCTTGGATTCTCCTAAGAAAACAAGATTAACTCAAGACATAAAACATTATTTACCATAATAGAATATTAATAATCATTATTCTAGTAATATTGACATTAATGTTGTTGTTGTTGTTTTTTTACAGAAACAGACATCAATGTTGATAATTTATAATAAAACACAAATGTTGATAACTATTAAACTTTTTGTCTTCTTACAACGAGGATGAAAAGCTAAACCGACATAGGAAAGACACAATCAGGCCACACCCTAATACCCTATATGGTTGGGTTGGCGTTCAAATAATTCCCTACGAAGCATAGCATGGGTCGATCAATCCGCTATTTTCCCTTTTTTCTTGTCAAAGGCAATGAAAAATCGAACATTCCAGTTCCATGCTTCACGAGTTGATAGCTACTACACACAAAAGAAAAAAAAAATTGAATTGGTTCTCATAAGTAGTTGTGATATGTCGTCTGAAAACAACTGATAGAAAAAGGAAACACAGTTTTATCATTTTTATATTCATAAAACCCTTCTCAATATATTTTAAATAATGATTACTTATGAATTGTTATTTCTATTAGCATCTTCACAGCTCGACCCAAATCCGGTAACAAGATGAATGAATGACCACTTTATCAAGTATATTTCCGTGCCCATCGATGGTATTTGTGAAGACAGTAATAGCTGGACCCTCTCTCTCTCTCTCTCTCTCTTGGTTAGTTGCTGTTGCTGTAGCTGTCATTAAGAATCTGAAAATGATGTCTCTGATTTCAAGCATGATGGAACCTCTCACTATCCTCCACCATTCTCGACTTGATTGAGAGAAAAAATAACAAACACAAAATTCAAACGCATTGTTTCTACGTAAATAAATTCTTGGAATCATCTACCTCAACATTATAATAAGGCCCTTGTCTTGAAAAAAAATGCATAGTGTGTGTGTGGTATTTGTGTATAAAAAACAATTATAACATATTTTCATTTATGTGTATTACTTTCAAAGTCCTGTCAGATTATTCAAACAATTTTAAATTTATACATTATTTTAAATATTTAATTATTCTCATAATTATATTTTTAAACTATTTATCGTTGTTACCATGTCACTTCACGTAAGTGTCAAATGTTTATAGAAATATATCGTTATTTATTTATTTTGAATATTATCATTTATATTTCGTAGAGTTCCTTTTGTTTAAAAAATTGAAGCATATCCCGTGTGAAAGTAAGTTTTTTATACTATCAAACAAATTTAAATAATATATATATATATATATATATATATATATTATCAATTTCTAATTCATTAAAATTATTATTATATTTTAAATTATTATTATTTTATAGGATAATAAAAAATAAATCTTAGTTTATCGTTTATTATTAAATATATTATTTTTTTCTCAATATATTTTTTTAAGTGAGTCTATACTCTTTTTAAAGAAAATAATTCAATATCTTCACATTAATATCATCACATTCTTACTTTCATCATTCTATTATATATATATATATATATATATATATATATATATATATATATATATATATATATATATATATTATTCTAATATAAATTATAAATATTTATTGTAAAAATTAATAAACTTATAACATATATGACATATGATTATTATTATTTTATATCATTGCTGTCAACAATTTTTTTTTTTTAACCTTGTTAATATACTTTAATAGAGTTTAAATTTTAATATACTGTTAACAAATATTGGCATTGCCAGATTCATTTAAAATGTTTTTAAATAATATATTTTAAAGTGTTGATTTGAAAAGTAAATAGTTTTATTTTTTATGTGAATCTATAATTAATAATGATATAAATATCCTTTACACAGTGATTTTAATTTATTTTATAATCATAGAATCATCATATTAATAATTACTTAAATAAATAAAAAATCATTTGATATTCGCATCTTTCAATCCAGGAGAATTGAATCTATTAGAATTTCATTATTATTCTTTTAGCAGGTTTATTGTTTAGGATAAATAAAAATTAATATAAAATATTTTAATTGATATTAAATTAATTTAATATACATAAAAAATAAATTAAAGTACAAAAGTTGCAGAATTTGTATGTGCACATGAATACCCATGAGAATATGTTATGAATTTATGTATTAAATATAAAAAGAATTATTTTATAAAAAATAAGATAATTAATCAAATCAATCATCAACAAGTATGTTATATAAAGTAATATTTAATTTCTTTTATGTTATATATTTGGAAGATTATTTATAGTATACATAAACAAGAGAGTATGAAAAAAAAAATTATTGTCATAAAATCATTTTGAAGATAAGAACTGTGATTTTTTGTTTTGTTTTATTTAAGAATATCAGTTAAGTATTTAATAAATTCAAATATTTACTATAACGTAACAAGTTAATTATGACATGTTTACAAAGCAAAAGGGAGATTATATAATGTTTAAAAAATACAAAAAAGATTGTGGTGGAAGAATGAAATTGAAGAAATATATGAAGTTATTTTTTCTAATAGTGAAGGATTTTGTATATTTTTATTACTTGTTGAAGCTTTAGGCATGCTTCTTTATTAATGATAATGGCTGCCTAAAGGACGCAATTGATAGGCCTCATCATTGAAGTTCATTCCTTGAATTTATTTTCGACCTTGAAATGCTTCTCATGGCAAGCAAGCATAATTGAAGTTCATTATCAACATTTTCTCACTATTCTGTTCTACCCAAATGAAAACCACCACCACTTAAACAAACATGAAACACCTAATCTTTAATATTAGTCATAAAAAAAATGAGTTGCTAAGTAAAAAAAAAAACAAAAAAATATTTTTAAAACATATATTTATAACTAAAACTTCCACCTAACTTGGATAAATATGAGGATCTCTAACAAACTGCTATTTTATAGAAACCTAATATTAGTCAACCCTCAATATCAAGTATAAATACAAACTTAATAATATTGTACAGAATTTGAAGTATACATAATTTTAATCTCAAAACTAACAGACCTAAAGGTAGAGTTTGGTATGGTGCAGACATTTCCCTTGCATGCTGAAATTTTTAAGGATGAGGCTTCCCACCAGTCCCCATTGTTACCCTATCATTATTTTTCAATTCTTCATGGGCTTACTTGTATGGGCCCAATACTGCTTACAAGTAAATATGTGACCCATTTATTATGATGATCATATCTGGGAGAGAAGGAGAGAGAGAGAGGAAAGAGGGAGAGCATTTTAATTTTCAATTTCAATTTCATCATTTATAGCCCTTACTCTGAATATTAGAGAGGAGAAGAAAGGTTGAAATCCCAAAGATCACCAATGGGTAAAGATCTGAGCGAGGAGCAAGTTTCTGCCATGAAGGAGGCTTTCTCTCTATTTGACACCGACGGTGACGGTCGGATCGCTCCGTCGGAACTCGGGATCCTGATGCGCTCACTTGGAGGAAACCCCACCCAGGCCCAACTAAAGTCTATTGTCGCTGAAGAGAACCTCACGACCCCATTCGACTTTCCCCTATTTCTTGATCTCATGGCGAAACACATGAAACCAGAACCCTTTGATCGCCAACTGAGGGACGCCTTCAAGGTCCTTGACAAAGACTCCACTGGCTTTGTCTCCGTCTCAGAGCTCCGTCACATTCTCACCAACATCGGCGAGAAGCTTGAACCCTCCGAGTTTGATGAGTGGATCAGGGAGGTCGATGTGGGCTCCGATGGCAAGATCCGCTATGAGGATTTCATCGCCAGAATGGTCGCTAAGTAGTAATACCCAATCCCGAATATCGTTTCAGTGCTCTTCTCTCTTTTTCTTGTTGTTTTGGTATTACTGTTTTTCTGTTTACTCTGTCGTATTTGCTTTTGAGTGGACCAGTGAATTAACCTTGTTGTGCTTATTTTTATGGTTTGTAGCTAGCCGAGGGTTGTTTTAGGAAAAGGTGGCTACTCAATTTAATTTTCCCTATTTGGTTTTGGTTTATTTGTATTATGAGATCTGATTTTGAGTTAATTTATTTATGCATGCTGTATTTCAGACCAAGTATCTCTGTATCTAATCCTTTCTTCCTTGGTGGATTAAACCTGTGTTTCTTCTGGTTTCGAGCTAAGTGGGATGATGAATTAAACTATGCTGCTACAATCTTACCAAATAATCAAATTCTAGTTGGTATAAAATTATACCCTGTAACATACGATAATGATCTGAGGCATGCCCACTAATGGTGAATTGGTGGATTTAAATTCTATCAATGGATATTTAAATTTCTAATTTTTTAGCTATAAAATCATAATTATCTTTGAAATGTTGACATCACCCACCAAGGGTGAATTGGTGGGTTTAAATTCTAAGAATGAATATTTAGATTTTTATTTTTCTAGCGGTGAATTCATAATTATATATGAAATGAAGAGGTTCAAGACAATATTAGTAGTAAACTTCATGATATGTAAAGATAATTGTAGTAGTGAAACACTGATTAATCCATGGCAGGATAAACTCCAGTATGATGCCTTTAGTGATTTAATGGTGGAGTGAAAAATATTGATAGTTAATAATAGATATTCAAGTCCATCTTACACACTGAACAAAAATAAAATATGAAGATGAGCTGTCACTTGACTCCATTGATTTTTCTTCCTTATATTTATGTGTTTACTTGTGTGTCTATGTGCTTGCATGTTTAATTTCATCTGAATTTCTCATTATGTGTTTTATCTAGTATTGTGGCCTTACATACTGCTCTTGCTGTGTCATTTGTTTTGTCGTATTTCTTGCATGTCTGCTGCACACTCTGAATTTCTCATTCATTATGTGTTTTTATCTAATATTGTGGTTTTACATTCTACTTTTGCTGTGTCATATTTTGTGTCGAGTTGCTTGCATGTCTGCTTCATCATGTGAGTTTCTCATTATGTGTTTTTATTTAATATTGTGACCTTACATTCTGCTCTTGCAGTGTCATATCTTGTGTCGTGTTTCTTGCATGTCTACTGCATCCTGCTGTCACTTTTGCATGTCTACTGCATCCTGCTGTCACTCGTCTTTTGTAAATATTGGGGAGTTTGCTTTATTGATTTGCCATTGCAATTGAGTTTGTTCTTTAGGTGGTCTGTTGCAAGTCATAAGTCTTTCTGTTTTATTTCATGACTGAACTTGTTATGTTTTATTTGATTGCGGGCATTGGTTTGACTGGTTTTTGCTTGGGGATGAAAAATGTGAAAATATACTTCTTGACGTGTTTGATTTGAATACCAGGCTCTTTTGTGTGGAATAAGTATCAGAAAGGTTTGGTTAAAGTTTTAGAAAACCTAAATTTGTGTGATCATTCTAAAAGATTAATTAGGATTTGTATAGTTTGAAAAATGTGTTTGTTTTCAATAATATTTACAAAAATAGTATCTTCATACAGGGAATTTGGTTTTCTTTGGGTTTTAACTCTATCAAAATGACTTTATGGACAATATTTCTATAAAGATGATAATTGAACCTATAGCTGTTATAAAATTAGCTTATGGGTAGTATTTCTATCAATCAAATAACTTTATGTACAGGGATGTATCTGGACATTATTATACATATGTAGTGATTATAAATTACATAGGAAAGTTTGAAGGTTTTAATGATTATAAATTTATTCCATTTATTGATATTCTTAATATATCCAGTTGATATTGTAAAAGACTATAAAAAAATATTAGTATTTATTTCAAAATCATACCAATTTTAATAAATTATTTTGATGATTGAGTTTTATGAATTTTGTGCAAAGTTTTACTTATATGTATAAATTTTATTTTTTATGAATATCTTTTATTTAAATATGAGATTTTTTTTTAACTTTCATCTATTTTTTTCCTTCGATCTTATTAATGCAGTAGTAGTTATTTCACCAACTAATAAATTTTTTTATGTTATTATTTTTTAACATAAATTTTTGAATTATTAATATTGTATATGATTATTTAATTAATACATTCTTTTATGAATAATTTTTATACGATATTATTTGATTTATTGATTTTTTAAACGTTTTTTTAATTATACTACTATCATTTTCACTTTCCAACATGATTTAATTTGTTTATGGTCAACAAGTTAAAAATATATTTATTTAAAATTATATAAAACATAACAAACCAGAAGAAAATTGTCATGTATTAGTATTTTTTTTTCACAAATTATTGATAAAGTTTTTATGATTATTTTTATAATAATTTATAATTAAATAATATTGTAAAATTGTGCATGTTTGTTCAACTTATATATTTTTTTGTTTCCTTTTATTTTAATATTAAAAATTATAATATTTTTAATCATAAAATTATTATTAATATCAACAATTATATATTATTATTATTATATATAATATTATCTTTCTACTTTAACAGACTATTTTAATGACAAACTATGTTCATTTTTAGTGAAGAATTTTTTTAAAAGCTAAATTTGGCCTAAAGATTAGGATTTATGTTTTTTAAAAAGTTTGTTGAGACTTCAAAAACTTAATCATCAACGCGTAACATGGATATTTTTGTTTAAGCATTATTGAAATTTTTTTATCCATAGTATTTATAAATAATTTTAAAATATATTAAAAAATAAAAATTTAAAAATTATCTTGTAGTTTTGACCAAGTAAACATGACAAATGTCTCTAGATTATAAATTAAAAAATTATAAAAAATAAATTTTTAATTATTTTTCTCATTTAATCTTTAATATTTTATTTGTTTAAATTATATATCAAATAACCAAAATATTTATTATTTTTGCCAACAACATAATATAAATATGATTTATATATTTAATATTTTGTCTTAATATTAACACTTATTGTCATCTAAGTACTTTTTAATTTATCAGTAAAAAGAACTGAAACATACTATTAATAATTTTTTAAAATATATAAAATCCTTTAAATTATTGTAAATCTATTTTTTTAAATATTATTATGAATTTATATTTTATAAATTCTTTAAGATCTAGATTATAAAATCATAATCTTAAAAGGCTATTAAAAAATATTAAAATTTTACGCAAATCATTCTAAATTTATGTAATTTTGATAAAAAAATATTATATTCAATTAGAATTCTAAAATATTTTTTTCTTTTTCAAAAATGACGTATAGAATAACACAACATTTTGATCTATTTTTAAAAAAATTATTTTAAATACTCGCTTGCTGAATTTTCCTGGAGATGCTATGTTATTTGACTGGCAGAACCGTTTTGCTTTGTTAATGTATCAGCTGCTAGGTGTGGACAGTGTCTAAATTTTGTTCACAACATCTGGTTAAAGAGAAGGAGATGATTTTTCTTTGAAGTAAAATATAGTATAATCCATATATTTTAAAAATAACTCCAGTAACATATTGAATTCCTCCGGGGTCTTTCTGTTTTGCCCTTTTCTCAGAATCTATCAACCGAAACTGCAACTTTCATGTCACTGTGCATATATGTACCGACCAGAGAATCGTTTCAAAATTTGCATATATCTCTATCATATAGGGAATTTTTGCAGCTTAATTATTACCCTTATAAACAACTCACTTTTATTAATATAATAATCTATAAACTGATTTAATAAAAATAAAAATAAAATAAAACTATTATTATAATATTAAAACAGAGTTGTTTACAGGAGTTGTATGGATTTGGGTTGTCAAAGTATCATTTTCCTAATTATAACTCTCACTCTCACATGTAGTTATAGTTATTTTTCTATCATAGTGACTATTAAATATATTAAAGAGAGTGTCATTAAATACATCAAAAGGTTTGTTGATGGAGTTGAGTTGTTGTTTCATGTGTGAGGTGAGTTGGTGTGGGTAGTCTGTGAGAATTGAGTTGTTTGAGATCGGTTTGATGTGTAGTGGTGCTTGGGCAATAAATTGGTAGAGAGAATTAATTCTCTTATATTTGAACCGATGTAGAATTGATTTCCACTTCTTTCACACGTGGATGGGGAGAATCGGTTCTTTCAAATTAGATATGTAGAAAATTCATTCTTTCAAATTGGATATATTATAATGGATTAGCTCAATAATAGGATCCGTATATTAAAAATTATATTTATTTATAATGTCTTATAAATACGAAAACATTATTGTATAATGGTGGATAAAATCTTGAATCATTGTGAATAATAAATATCTTTAAAATCTCTAATTTTATATGTTATATTTCAATATCAACCGCTGAAAATCTTTTTAGTTTTTATAAACAAGGACAATTATTAGTTTTTACAAACCAGGACAAAATAAATTAGAAAAATTCATCTAATGATATAATTCAATCTATACTTACATTAATGAAATCTAGATATATAGGAATAAAGATGATTATTTTACAAGAACAAGATCTCATATCTTAACTTTAAAGGGTATCTTTTTGGAATTTTTTTACTTACAGACTTCCAATGATTATTTGTCATATTATTACTACTCGCAAAAAATCTAAATTTTCATTCTTGAAATTGAACCATTTGTGTCTGACTTCACCCAAGTAGCAGGGTGATGCATTGAATTGGGATAATCGATTCTAACAAATTGAAAAAGATTCTAATTTAACAAAAATTGAGTTTTAAATATTTTTAAAAATAATATATTTATTAGTTTTATATATTTTTTTAACTAAATAAAAAAAAACTACAAAATTACACTTATATTTAATTATTATTTTTATAATGTGTTTAATTTTATATTTATTTTACTTTTTTTTTACCTTATATAATTATTTTTATATAAAATTTATTATAATAATTATGTTAGAAATTGTAACAAAGTGATTTTTAATTATTACTTTACGATAATTTTAACGTGAAACAATTTTTTTTTAAGAAAAGAAGAAACACGTGATGCATAATTTTATATTATGTATCATGTTAAAATATGTTATACAACATATATATTTTATACATTATTATTAATTAAAAATAAAATATTATTTTATTTAAAATAATCATAAAAATTTATTTGAAATTAATTTATACAAATTGTATTTTAATATAGTTTTGTATATTTACAATTTTTTATTTTAAATAATAATTCACATTTTATTTTAATATAATTTACACAAATTATATGTTATTTAAAATCAATTTTTAAGACAAGAATAAAATTATAATCTTACAATTTTATTAATTAAAATATTTTTTTAATCTATTAAATAAATCAAATCACTCACAAACTTTTCTCATATCTTTATTCATTTTTTATCAATTTTTCCTTCATCTAAATAATTTTATTTTCACCTCTCTTTCTCTTCAAATTTATCATTTTATCCTCTCTCAAATCCATCATTTTCCCCTCCCTCGGAATCGATCAAACGCAGGCCTAATGTTCCTACCGCACCAAAAAGTTTGCTTCATACTTGATAATAAAGATTAGTATAGTATACAGTACAATGTAAAATAGAATGAGAAATAAGGGGATAATCGTCCAACCACGAATCATCTATAAGTGGGGGTGAAGATTCTATTTCAGAGGGCCATTCACAGCTGCAATCTATTTCATCAAAGATAATGGTTCCAGATTTTGCTTCCCTATGTTGGAAAATGGTTTTTAACCAAAGATTGCTGTGCACAAAAATCAAATCGCTGAATTTTTCTAGCTCCATTCTATTGCGTCTTTTGTTATGTATACTTTGGAAAGTACTCCAGTTCCACCTCTACCAAAGGGAACTACAAGGTTGGCTAAGTATCCGCACCGCAGCTCTCTGGAGCGTGGGAATTTCATAACCGTAACTAATCCACCAGTCACCTAAGCATCCATAAAATTAAATAAGCAAAAGCATAAAGAAAAACATCTAAAACCAGGCCTCCTCGCCCAATTTTCAAGATACTTAAAAACTTTCTCTAGACAGTATAACTCAAGGACTGCAACCAACCATTTTCTGACTTATTAGTAAGATATACTATAGTTGTAGAACTGTTGATCGAGTTAGTGCACAAGATTGCAACTATTTTTGGCAGATGCAAATTATACTATGCAACAGTAAGAAACTAAGGGGAGTGTGAAGGAGAAGTACAATCCACTTAAACCATGACTC